AATATTTTGTATCCAAACGTACGAAAGAATTCAAAGAAGGAGGACGTTAGAACAAATTACAAAGATATTAATATTATGTATCTTTTCTAGTTTCAAGGGAAGCATTAGGAGATCAAAGAATATAAGACATGCATGGTAAAATATAAAGAGTATCAGAAATGAAAATTTGTAGAAAGAGGTGTTTAAAGCGTATAAGACTAATTAACACGAAGAGCGTTTACATTGTATCCTAGCTTGTGTGTATGTGATCAAGTACCGATTTTCCGAATAAAATCTGCTTTAGTTAAAACTATTGAGATTCTTTAGAACAAAAAAGGTGGAGAAAGTGGAGAGCATCAATCAAAAAAACAAAGAGACTTTTGTACAGTTCCACAATGTATATGGGTCAGTCAACCCTCGAAAAGAAACCGGAGATGCACGAAAGCTTGAATTGAACCATTGACCCAGCCACCACCATATGTTTTTTCTTCTAGGGTATTTATTCATTCGTAGAATGTTGAATATTAAACTTGTTCTTTCCAGTAATTTCAACTCCCTACAGCAACGTAGTAAACAATTACGATACATTTCAGTTGAAACATGTATGTTTCAAAAATGTATGTTTTGTAATTTTTACACATTAAAAAATATAGGAAATTATACTAATACATTATTTTGTTATAACTAACTATTCCCTTAACTTAAAACCAATAGAACTTCAATAACCCCAATTATATTTTTCTAAGTTTACAATTTATCCTAACTAGGTGATCTTCCCGTGCTCATGCACGGGCATAAATATTTATAAAATAAAAACTAATTTATATAATTTACATTAATAATATTATATTACTTTAATTATATATATGATTTTAGATATGTTATATTTATTCGATTTTTTTTTGTTTTTATAGTCGATTTAAACATTACATATTGGACTCCATCTATTTCTCTGAATTCAATTATAAAATTTTATTTTAAATATATTAAGTTGTTTGTTGTCTTAAAAATATTTAAATATTTAAATAATACTAATTATAATTATTATTTTTCTGTTAATTACACATATATCGGTTTATGTTACTTCATTATTTTATGTAACTAAGAAAATAGATAGATATATAAAAACAAATTTTATTACTTTGAAAAGATATATATTTTATTGTTTATAATTATTTTTGTAAAGGAAAAATATTTTTTTTCTAATATCATGAAGATTATATGTGTGTAATTTTTTTTTATAAAATCACATTATCTACAAATATTTTTTTTTTATCTAAGAAGATATAGATTTAAGGAAAGTATTTTATTACTTCAAAATTATATTTTATGTTATTTAAAATATATTTAAATTAAATATTACTATTTTGTGAACTTTCCATTTTTATGAAACCATATTTATATATACTTATAATTTCGTTTTTAAATAATTTTGTAAACTTTATACATGTTTCCATTTTATTTTATATTGTTATTTGGGAAAAAATAAGGAAATAATAATATTTAAATGTATTTTTAATTCATTAGGGGTATCATAGTAATCAACCAGCGTAATAATTAACGTGAGCGCGACACATAAGAAAGTGACTTTTCAAATAATATTATAGAGATTGATACATTATTTTCTTATAACTAACTATTCCCTTAACTGAAAATGTATATTTTTAAAACAATTTATTTATTTAAGAGATAGATCTTTTTGGAACGTAAGGAAAACTTGATATTTTTAAAATTATGCATGTATAAAATAGGTATATAATTTCGGTTTGGTTAGTAATTTTTAATACAATTTGTATTTTGTTGACAAAAATAATTATGTGTATGGAGTGCAAATAAAAATGGACATATTTATCTTGAAATCATATTTTTATAAATCAAGATATAAATAAATTGTGGTATCACCATAGCCTAATGATTAAAATTTAAAGTTTTTTTACACTAAAGTCTGGGATTCAAATCCCATAATTCATTGTAGATTACAAATAATTCAGGTTTCAAGTCCCGGAGAGGTTTACAAAGAATCTTCAACATGGTGCAAATAAATCTAGTCAGTAGTAAATTTTCATAGGACGGTTAAGATGATGCAATTATGCGTAAATTCTTATAATGCAGTATTGTCGGTTGTCAGGAGTGAATCTTCATATGACGGCTTTGATGATGCAGTTAAATAAAAATCCTAATAAGGCATGTAGTATTGTCGGTTTTCGAATCTTTTTATAAATGTAATCTTATAATAAATCATCATTAAAAAAAGAAATATATAAACAAATTTGGGAAACAGCTAGCCTTTAATTAACCAAAAAGAAACAAAATGTAAAAGCTCCTTTATCCAATAATGAATTATTTAAAATTTTAGTTATCAGTGTATATATATCATAAAATTTGCAGTTCAAAATCTTAAAAAGTTATTTATCATAAATTATAAGATTATTAAAAATTACAACAATAAGAAAGATCATTAATTTCCAATGACTTATTTCAAAGTTTATCTATGCATATATATCATAATTCATGCTGTTCAAAATTCGAAAAACATAATCTATCATGAATTAGAGTAAATACTCTATAAGTTAATAATGTTAGGACTATCATATTTTATTAATTTATAGATTTGTTAGTTTGTAAAAAAATATTTTTTTCTTTATATAAAAGATATAATATTTCTAAAATAAAATATATTTACTTTTAATGTATATACTAATCAATTTGTTGAAATTCGACATTTATATTAGTTTATTATATTATGAAGTATACATAAAATATGTTTCTATATAATTTAAATGTGGTTTTGGATATAGTTGGTTGTACTATATAAAATGTGTATTCATAACTATTATTAATTTGTAATTTTAGTGAGAGTATATATTTACATAGGATTTTCTAAACAAATGTTATCTTATTATCTTATCGATTTATGTCATATTTTTAATAAATCCAATTTGGGACTAGAGAAACATATATATGGTATTTATTAATTTATAAAATATTAATTTACAGAATTTTTACTATATAAAGATTATGAAAAAAACATACTAAAAATATTGAGAATGGTATAAGAAAAATATTTAAAATTATTTTAGTTTAGTTAAAATATCGGGTAAAATTACTGGTCTGTCATCATCGGTTTTTATGGTGGCGTCGCATTGGTGTTTGGTCCCTGGTGTGCTCAAGCTTCGGTTTTGGCTGCCGTGTGGTCTTTCACCCCTCGAATCAAAGTGGTGATGGCCTCTCAAATAATCTTAGCGGCTTAGAGCATGCACATCAATGAAACCCCTCTAGGAGTTCAATCAATTTTTTTATTATTAAACTGTTTTCTTTTTGATTTTTTTTATAAAAAAAAAATAGACGAATCACGGGTCGCCACGTGTCGAGGGGCCTGCACTACAGTAATGAATCGGGTTCACCGCAAAAAACCTACAAGAGGCGGATTCATCACTATTCTTTATTTTAATATTTTTTTTTGCAAAACGTGTGAATCCCCATATGAACCTTTGATGGGGGTGCTCTTAGTATTAGTGTCTTGAGTATTAGTGTCTTGACGACGGTTTCAGCTTAATGTGTCTTTTGTTCCGATAGCTAGGCATCAGCTTCCGAGATTAATCATTGGTTTTGTCTCTTCCATAAGAGTTATCCGTTTATCTATCTGTTTTTTTCTATAAGAGATGTAGTTAGATGTAGGGCTGGACATTTTATCCATTAAATTTGATTTGATTCGTTATTCGTTTCGATTCGATCCAAAAATTCCAGATATCCATAAACTTTCGAATCAAAGCAAATACTAAAAATCAATATCCGTTAAAATCAAAGCAAATCACAAAATTAAAATTTTGGGAAGCGGATATCCGATCCGATCCAAAAATATAAAAATATATGTATATCTTGATTATATTTAAATTTTTTAATGTATTAAATAATATAATTACTATTCTAGCACATGATTTTGAATAATTCTATTCACATTATTAATTATATAAAAGTATTACATAAAAAGAGAGAAGAAATTTATAACAATTATATTTTTTTCTTAAATTTTGTGTTATTATAATTGTAACTTAAACTTAAAAATTACAAAATATGTAAATTCACTTGTTTTTTTAATTGTTACTTTATATATCATACAAAAAAATATTTTTGCAAAGCAAATTTGTATCAAAATTTTAAGATTATTTGTATTAATCAAAATGGATGAGATATTCGTAAATATTCATAAATATCCGCAAATATCTATTTATTTTCCGGATATCCGTTTTTCTAGATATCCGTATTTTTTCGAATCAAAGCAAATACCAAAATTAGATATTCGTAACATTCGAACCAAATCACAAATATCTTGAAAAACTTGGATATCCGATCCGTACTCACCCCTAGTTAGATGGGTGCACACAATCCTGATAGAATGTAAAGGTGGTGGTAATCTCCAGCACAATCTACCGAATGATCATCGGTTTTCAGTTCTTCTTTGTACCACCATGATCTCTTTTTCCTTACATGTTTTGGGGTTCATGGTTGAATTTTCTGCTTTAGTTCACTCTGAATTATATGTTGGAAGTTATAGGAACCATTGCATTCAGGGTTTTGGTAGCTCATGACAACTAACCGTTTTTCTTTTCTCATCTAGTTATGGAGCATTAGGCTTGACATCGTGTCGTTATCAAATCTGTTTTACGGATTAAGATGCGTTGTTGTTGTTTGGTTCGGTCCTTGTTGTTATCAATAATGTGTTGTGTTGTTTTTCACTTTCTGCTACTCGTCATATCTTATTTCTTTTGTCAAAATTAATATTTAATATTTTATTAGAAAGAAACATTTTTGTAATTTATGATAATAGATATTATTAAAGCAAAGCGTAATGAAATATAAAAAGGGAAAAAAAAAGGAAAATTGAATGTGGGAAGAGAAGAGAAGAGATCTTTAATTCTTTAAAGAGAGCAAAACACTGTCATCATCAACCCACAACACTACTCTCCTCTTTTCTTTCTTCTCTTTACTTTCACTTCCTTTTTACCATCTCTTTAAATCTTCCCTAGAAAAAAAGAAGGAATATCAAAAAAAAAAGCTTTTCTCTGGGTTTATTTCTTGATTGGTCAGTTACACATATCTCTCCCTCTCTCTCTCCATCTCTCCTCTCTTGCTTCATCTGTTTGGTCTCCTTCTTTGCTTATTTCTACCAATTACATAGAACTTAAACAAGAAGTAAAGAGAAAAGATTCAGACATGGGTTAGTCTTCAGTTTCTAAAAAAAAATCCTCTTTCTTGTCCTTCTTCTATCTATCTTTCTCCACTTTTTTAGGGTTTAGGGCAAGTATGCGTGAGTTACATCCTCTTTGAGCTACTCTGGATTCCCCACCGTCCAACGACCGCCCTCTCCGCCGTCGCCGCCTCGACCAAGAACAAGAAGACGACCCTGAGCTTCCTCAATATGCTCAACCAATGGCAGACGACGACGAACCTCACCACCTCCTCCACCCTCCGCCTTCAATGAGGCGCCGCGCTACCTCGGAGGCGGCGAACGGCGGCTGCGGGGAGATAGTGGAGGTGCAAGGAGGCCACATTGTGCGTTCCACGGGGAGGAAAGATCGGCACAGCAAAGTCTGCACGGCCAAAGGACCACGTGACCGGCGCGTGAGGCTATCTGCTCACACGGCGATTCAGTTTTACGATGTTCAAGACCGCCTCGGCTTCGACAGGCCGAGCAAAGCCGTTGACTGGCTCATCAAGAAGGCTAAAACCTCCATCGACGAGCTCGCTCAGCTTCCGCCGTGGAACCCCGCCGAAGCAATGCGCATCGCCGCCGCAAACGCCAAACCGAGAAGAACCGCCGCCGCGAAAACTCATGTCTCTCCGTCGCCGCCGCCGCCGCCGCAACTTCAGTTCGGTGGATTCGACGGAGTAGGAGAGCATCGGAGTAATAACGGTAACGAGACGAGTTTTCTCCCGCCGTCGATGGATTCGGATTCGATCGCTGACACTATAAAGTCGTTTTTTCCGGTGGTTGGCTCTTCCACGGAAGCTCCTCCTCCGGAGCAGCTTATGCAGAACTTTCACCACCACCACCATCATCATCAGCCGCCGGATTTGCTTTCAAGAACTAATAGCCATAACCAAGATCTCCGTCTCTCGCTGCACTCTTTCCCGGACGGTCCAACGTCGCTTCTCCACCACCATAACCATAACCACCACTCCTCCGCCGCCTCCGCCGCCGCCGAGCCTGCTCTGTTCTACGGACAGAGCAATCCGCTAGGGTATGATTGGGAGCAGCAGTCGTCAGAATTCGGGAGGATTCAGAGACTGGTGGCTTGGAACAGCGGCGGAGCAGCAACAGAAACAGGAAACGGAGGAGGAGGAGGGTTTCTCTTTGCTCCTCCGGCTACTTCGACGTCGTTTCAGCCAGTACTTGGCCAAAGTCAGTTTTATTCACAGAGGGGTCCCCTTCAGTCCAGTTACAGTCCCATGATCCGTGCTTGGTTTGATCCTCACCACCATCAATCCATCTCCACCGACGATCTCAACCACCATCATGTTCCTCCGCCGGTTCACCAAGGTGAGTTCTCTTCCGGTTTTCGCGTACCAGCACGGTTTCAGGGACAAGAAGAGGAGCAGGAAGATGGTCTCTCCAACAAACCGTCATCTGCTTCCTCCATTTCTCGCCATCGTTAACAATTCAGACAATATCCTCTGGTTCCAGGTTATTACAAAGTCTGTCTTTTTTTTTACTTCAAGCTCAGGCTGTCTTGTTAGTTGAACTAAAAAAGAAAACATTTTGCTAGGGCTTGTCAAAGCTTCCACTCACATTGAAAGCTTTGGCTTAGATTGTTCGGAACAGGGAAGGCGTTTTGTATTCAATGGCTTGAAAGTAAAAAGGCAAGGAGAGGATGAAAGAGTGGAGAAAGAAGACCAAATGTGGCCTACAATCTCAGGTTCTTTCAGTATCCTCCTGACCTTTGTCATTTGTAATTTTCATCTTTTTCACCAGTTAGATCTGTAGCTCAATGATGGTTAGATCCCATGGTTTCTCTCTTGTTGTGTTGCGTCTGAAAACCTTTTTGTTGTGTGTTGTATTATCATCCTCTTGTTACTGCAATAGCCAGATACTTGAGAAATTTCAGTTCCCTTTTCTTCTTGTGTGTAACTCCATGGATGCTGTAATAAAGTCTTGAACTTTCTCTGTTTTTACATATGGATTTTGCTTCTTTTCTCAGCTTATGAACTGTTAAAAAGAAACTAGGTTGGTGAATACTCTCTTCAGACTTAGATAGGATCATTGTTGGGTTGATTCTTATATCTCACCCAACCCGTTTGGTCCCAATGATAAAAAGTTAGTCATTTTCAATGAACAGTAAGTTTTGAATTGTTGCTTCTTCTGGAACATCAGGGGGATTTAGCCATTTACCTTAAATTAGAAGTGAAAACTTTCCTCACAAGAGGAGTAATAAAAAAGGATTGTTTATCTATATCTGATGTCATTAATTGTTCTCTTTCTCACACCTACATTAATGGTAGGAGGAGATCCACCAAACTTGAATGTGATGTTGTCTTCTTTCATTAGTAAAAGAATGGGGACATGAGATAGGTGTAGAGCGCTACCCATGTCTCTCTAAATGTAGGAACTTGATCAAAACTACTCCCATCTTCTCTCTATCATTCATCTTTAGACAAATAATTTTGGATTCTGCAAAGTTAGTCAAAAATACAAACTTGAGTTGAATGCATGATTTCAGATGTTCATATTAAATTCATTTGGCTTAAATTTTAACCTTATAAAAGAAAAAAGCAAACACCTTTTCATGTGTTGTAATAAATACATCACCAACCACACCAAATGAGAAAGGTTGAGATATCATAAAGTAAGTACCTTCTACCAGTGTTTCAAAAAAAAAAAAAAGTACCTTCTACCAAAAGATAGAAAGGCTGAGAATCTTTACTTTTAAGGTCTCATGACTCAAAATCATATCCAATCTACACAATATATTCACTATTCCCTCTTTTCTTACTTTGGTTTGTCAACTGATAATATCATCAGTAACTTTTTTCTTTTAAGAGAGGTAGATAACATAGTACAATCTATCTGTTATGACCAAGTAAAACGTTCCTCACTAAACCTCAAAATATCTAATGGGTTTGAGAGTGATGTTGAAGAAGAAGAAGATGAAGCCAAGATTGTAAAAAGAGTTGTCACTTTACGAATGGTCCCCTCTCTCTTCACTTCTTGTAAGATCTCATTGCCTTTAAATTTTTACAGAACAAATTCACATTGACAACATAAAAAGGTGATTCACTTTTTCTACTGACAGAAGACTATGACGACTCTTAAAGATAACTCAATTTAGATTAGAGATCCACCAATGTAAGAACTTTCCGAAGCCTTCATCATAAATTGAAACTCAAAACCTAAAAACAACTCTAAAGATCTGTCTCTCATCATAACATGTGAAGCATGAAACAATTATATAAACACATGTGTTATCACACACCAATGTCTTTGATATGAAGTAGACAACATATATGAACATACACTGGAAAGATGAAAACATGTTCAATTGGATAACAAATTAAAGAATGGTCTCTTGGTTGAAAAAAACAAAACTCAATCTATGAAACCTGTTCTTCTGAAAACAGCATTCCTTACCTGTCTGAGATCTCTCCCTTTAAGTGTCCTTCCTGCTCCTTCAAGCACCGAGCAAGACAGTAACGAACTCTGCGCCAAAGACCTAGCTACAATCTCATGTGGAGGAAGCATTTCACCTTCTTCTTCCCCTCCCTCCTCATCATCCTCATCCACCACATCAGTCAACTTAAACTCCTTCTTATGACGATTCATCATCGCCGAAGATGCTAACGGCACTTGAACCGGAGCTGACTGAGGATACCTCCCTCCGCCTATATAAGAAGGAGTAAACGGAAGCCTCTCTTGAGGAGGTTTAGGAGCTGAGGGAATGGTTCTAGCGGAAGAAGATGAAGTGGAGAGAAGAGCTGCAGGCTTATGGTGAAAGACGTGGTTGAGGTAACTGTTCCCAGAAGGTTCTGGAAGAGCAGCGAGGATACCAGAAGCTTCCACGTTTTTCAAACTGCTTTTGCTTCGTTGAAGCTGGCGAGAAGGAGGATGTTGCGAAGGAGACGGAGGAGGAGGGTGAGTTATGTCGATTGAGAAGATGTCGTCTTCATTAAGCTCACCATCTGCAGAAGATGAAGGTGGAGAAGAAGACGAGGAGGGGATATCGATGCGTGGACTTTTGTTCATTCTTTGTAAAACTTTTGTTGAGAGCTGCGAATTAGATAAACTTGATCAGACAATAGTCTCCACCATCATTACAAAACATTAGATGTGAACAACACGTAACTGAAGTGTGGAGGTTGAATTAGATCGGTCCAAGGTTGAAAAAGTTTCCATTTTTAAATTAGAAAAAGGTCGTTTTCAATCAAATCTTTAAAGAGATTTAGTGAAAGAAACTCAACCCTGACGTGGGATTTTCATAATAATTTGATGTGAACTAGAAAGTTAAGTTTTTTTTTTTTTCCAGAAAACTCTAATTGATAGGTATTGCATCAAAACAGCAAGGTGGAGATACTATTAAAAGACGAAATTATCATTCGAGAAGGATTAATATTACCTCAACTCTGGGAAGAAGAAGGTATACAGAAGCAGAGTAGATGCACACGACCAGAGCTAGCGATCTGAATGTTTAGTAGAGACAGAGAGAAAGAGAACACGAAGAGACAGAGAGAGAGAGACGAAAAGCGACAAGACCTGATTCAGATTCTATAATTTTAGTACTGTCGTTTTCACATTATGTTGAAGGCCCAATAGAGCAAGGCCCATTAGAGTAAGGCCCAATATAAAGCCCAATAGGCATGATTTGAACGGTTTAGTGACTTGGCATTGAGCCCTAATCTCTAAGGTCGAGCTGCTATTCACCACCGTTCTTTCCAGCTCCATCCCTAGTTTTCTATGTCAAGGTTGAACCAAGGGTGAACCAAGCTTGACATTCTGTGTGTAGCATTAACCTCAGCTGCAAAAAGAAAAACCAGAAAGTTACTTGAGCTACAAGGTAACTAAAAACACATACGAATTAACCATTGTCCTGACAAGACAAAGCATAAGCTATCACGCTTCACTGTATAGCTTCTTCTCTCTGTTGCATCCTTGCGAGATTCTCCTCCATTGTTTTTTTTCAGAACCACCACGCTATTCAACTTCTAGTTCGTGCAATTTGATCTCCAGCTTCTACCGATTCTCCAGTTAATATCTTGTGCTGGAGTCTATCTTAATACAAACGTCATGCTTTGATATGACTCTGTCTATTACACCAATTCTAGTTCCTCGCTGTATGGCCTTGGGCCAATGACTTAAATCTCTTTGCAACATTCTAGCTGCAATAGTCTTTTTCTGGCCTCAAGAATTCGCAAGAAACCCTAAATATTGGAGCAGTACCTATGGTTGTGGAGAATGACAAATCTAGTATGTTTAGCCCTTTGAATGTGCATAATAGCGATCTCTATGGTAAGCGTGGTGGAAACTGAGCTTGATTTGATCGGTTTGAAACAGTTGATTGTTTCTGAAGGTACCTTTAAAAAACATGTTGAAACAGAGTTTTATAACTAACCTTGCCTCGATCTGATTTGTTTTGTTTTATTCCTTTCGTAACAGATGAGTGAATGAACCAACCAGCCATATAATATGACAGACTATCAGTATATAGCCGACAGATACAGAAAACCATAAGGTTAAAGACTCAACCACGTGGGAGTGATATGGTGTTTAATATGTGATCTTTCTTTTAAGACACAAGAAAGGTTAATGTTGATGGTACTTAGGCAAATGAGAAGAGAAAGAGGTATAAACCCATCTTGGTGACTAACATTTCAACCAAGGGTGAAGGTGGTGTTTGATCTTTTTCTTCAAATACAAGGTGGGGCTGTCTCTGATAATTTATATTTTGTGATGAAACTGATTAAAAAAAGGGAATGAGACTCTGCAACAAAAAAAATAGTTTAACAGGTTCCTCTGGTAGTATTGATTAGTTTGGGATGGAATTGTTGAAGTTGCCTAAAACATAAAGGTTTGAGATGGAATTTTTAATAAAAAAATAGACTAATAAACCTCAATTGGTCCCGGCGGGGCTCGAACCCGCGACCTTCGGCTCATAAGACCAACGCTCTAACCAACTGAGCTACGGGACCTACTTGTTAAGTAAATTCCAAGTTTTGTATTAGTCTCTTATTAATCATTTTCCTTGGACGCCACAGACTTTTGCAGAGAAAGAGAACACATTCTTCGTGAAGACGTCAACGTGGAGAATGCTTTCACTCAACTACATTCAGATATACAGTGTGGCAAGCCAAAAAGCTTTGGATATTGGAGATGAGGCTCCGGCTACTCTCCCTACAGGACAGAGTGACAATGTACTATGTTGGTTTCTTCTTGTTCCTTGGCTTGGTGTAAGGTTTCTCAGATCATTAAATGCTTTCTCTTTATATGTAAAATCATTCTACAATCTATGAACAAGAAAACGAATGGTGCTATAGGTAGAGAAGGCAAAACAAACTTCAGCGTAGTAACCAAATATACAAAGAACCATGGAAGCCTGTACAGTTTTCATAGTCACTAAGCCAATCTCAGCTTTAGACTGTTACACAAATTTTGAGCCCTGAAGTTTTTAAGGGCTGAACCTTGCCCTGACTCTGTTTCTCTTATAAAAACCATAACGTCTATTTAGGTTGAATCGGCAGAAACCTTTCATCCTACACTTTATTGTTCCCTCTTATTTTCCATGACAAGTGCCTCTGATTTACAGATTGGGCAAATGTTCTTGATAACCAACCACTTCTTCAAACATGCAGCATGATACTCGTGTCTGCAATCCAGCGTTACGATCTTATCTTTGTTCTTGTAGTTTTCCTGTCAATTAGAAAAAAAATCGAGTTTTACTACCAAGATGAGTGTGTGTAGAATGTTTGCATAAGCTTTGAGGATGAAGTCTCAAGATTTCTTGGTTTTACCTGGCATATCGTGCAAGAATCTGTTTCTAGATCGGTGGATGGAGCTTCCTCCAGGTTGATTCTGGTGGATAAATAAGTTCTTATTTTCAGAAGACCTTCCACATCTTCTTCTGATAAGCCAGTCTTCACAGTGCCAATATGGTCGCTCAAAGCAAGAAGCTCCTGCGCCACACAAGTTTTGAGTGTTAATAAGATAAGAAAAAACAAATGTGAACTTTTTACATACCTATATGATGAAGCGTAATCATGGACTCATGTGATTTTAGCTATGTGGTACAGTGTGACTGTGGACTCACCTCATATGACATGTCCTCTATGTCCAAGCGCATGGCTTGATGATGATCAACAGCATCGTAGAAGCCTCCTTCCCCGAACACTGCAACTTCCTAAACATAAAACAGAAAAAGCCAATAATGAAGAACAAACTGACACTAGAAGATGAAAAAAGATGTGCTAAAGAGGTTGTTACAGCTGTGTGAATTTCTCTAAAGCGAGGCAGTCCATTGTGTCGAAGAGTCGCTGCAGATAAAAAACCATCTTGGGGATGTTGTGGGTTTATCCTAAACCCAGTTGATTGAACTGGTCCCACATGACTGTATGAGGCTGAAGCCAAGTGAGGGTATACGGTGGGAGGAAGATGAGGTGGTGCCGGATGATGGCTAAAATGGTTGTGTCTAGGGTATACAAATGGTGTTTGGTTTCTGCTACTAGAGGTTTCATTGTATCTCGGAAAGCAGACATTACGAGAGTCTATGGGGGCAGTAACAACGTTACCTAAGAAATCATTCAAGAAGAAGAATTTAAAATTTTCAAGAACTTGCAGAAAGAGACCAGACCCAATGTTGAGAGAATAAGGATATTAATTACCATGCATATAAGGTACATAGGGTGGTTGGGGCCAAAGCGAAGAAGAGGATCCATCAGATGTGTTGCCATTAAAACGTTGGTCATACCAGATTGAACCAGGATGTGGTAAAGGATGAGCTGGATAGCTTCCTTGAATGAAATTATTATGACCATGAGAGAGAGGAGGATCCATTATAGCTACTCCTGCTCTGTTCCTCACACTTCTCTGATCTACTGGTTGTGGGTAAGTAGTACCATAGTGTGGGAATGAGAAAGGTGCTGTCTCCGGTGGATAAGAACAGGGAGCTGCTGCTTCTGCAGTGCTTGGTAGATACTGAAAATTTCCGGGCATTACTTGAGTGCTCTTTCTTTTGTATCCGTGACTCATAACATGTGCACCCCTCTCATGTTCAGTGGAAGTACCTTCACCAGCTACACTTCCAGGAGCTAATGGTGGAGCATGGAAAGGCGCGTAAGGGTGATAGAAATTTGGTGGGGTTGGACCAAGATCCGAAGGTCGTTGATGATGATAATGAGACTGTGGAAGACCCGAGAACATTGAGTTGTTGTTGTCATAAGGTTCGAAACCAGAAACAGTGATATCTGGAGGGAGGACAAATCTTTGAGAATGCTGCTCCATGTCTAAACCACTCATACTTCTTTGTCTCATGTTGCTAGTTTCAGAAAAGATCAACAACATTAGTGTGAAAGAACAAGTTAAAAATTGGCTCAGAAAGAGAACAAAAGCTCAATGCAAAAGCTTATTTTAGCTATAGTTTGTTTCAATAAGCACAAGTGTAATAAAAAAAACTGTTGATATCTAGCAAAGGAATCAAAACATACAAAAAGAGAATAAGTATTCTCCCCAAGTTTGTCCAAGAAATGCAACTTGTCAAGTCTCAAAACATATCCCTGTGATTTTAACCTCATTAATCAACATTTACAGAGAGGAACATAGAAAGTGTATTCACAGACAGCAACATTGAACATTAAAGCTTCACAGATACATTGTGTAAGCATGAAAAATCTAGCTGCAGAGATCAAACGTAATTCAGAAAAGCAATGAACACCAAAAATCATATACAAAAGTTAAGTCCATGCAATTCTTCATCTGCTCCTCATGTAATCTAACCGTTTCAAAAGATGATCAACCCACCAATATATTAACAAACGACCATATACTCAAAAAAATCAGAATCCAATTATCAGCGATGATCATAAGAGATTAGATACCTGATTATCCAGAAATTAATCAGGGAGAGAGAGAGAGAGAGATCCAAGGAGGAGGGTGATGGAAGGTTTTTATTTTTTTATTTTCCTCTTCTCAGTTTTTCTTTTCTTTTTTCAGTATTCTCTTATGCTTATCTTTACCTTATAAAAAATAATATTTTTTCATTGGTTTCTTGAGCTTTCTGACAGCAACTGTTTTTTTTTTCTAATTTAAAAGAATTGTTATCCTAATTATGAGAAAAACGTCCTAAATGGTCAAAAATATTTGCTTTTATTTAATGAACACGAGGTTTTGATTTCACATCTGATCAATTAATACTACTTTGAATAATAAGATCCACTTTTGTCTTGTAACCAAAGCATTGCCAAATTAACAAACAAGGAGCATGTGACAGCATGTAATGAATATATGCTCTTAGGCTTAACTAGGGAGTAATTTTTTTGCAAAATCTAGTTATCTTTGATTTCATTAATTTTTTATGGTGGTTAAGAGTTAGGCAAAACGAATTAAATGCGTTGTCTAATTACTGACCAACAATTGAAACAACAATAGCAAGAACATTATAAAAAATGCAATCAATATCTTGTCATGTCTTTTTATAAGCTAATAATCATAATTAAATTCTAATCAAAGCGAGAACCGTGGAAACTGGAAATTGAATGGCTTAATACATGGTTACAACAATTGTAATATTAATACGCGGTTTGGTTTCGTCAAACCAATCTAAACAAAACGCTGTCGTTTAGACATAAGCAGACGTCAGTGGTTTTAATAGGTCTTTAAACCTTACTCCCGAGCCGCCTAGCTCGTTCGTCTACGAAGAAGATGAATTCTGATATGAAGAGAAATCAGAAGAAGAAAAACCCTAAACCCGTTCAGACTAACCCTAACTGGTCACTCCTCCAACAAGTTAGTCTCTCTCTCTCTATATCTCTCTCTTAGCTCTTCCTTTGTTCAGCCATTGATCTTATTTTTGTAATTGCAGAAGCTGAAATCTAATTCTCATAGCACAGGCAATAGAAAATCGTCAAATAATGACGACTCAGATAATCACAGGTCTATATTAGGTAACCGAAAGTTTCAAACTTGAAGTTTGGGTTTAGGTTATATTTGGTCTCTTAGTGGTTCTTAACTTAAGAAGAACCTTGCAGGGAAGAGGAAAGAGAGACCTGATTCAGAGGTGGAGGATGTTCCTAAGATTAATCCATTAGCTCCGGTCAATGATGATACTAGGTAGGTCATGTTTGCTGTTTTAGCTTTGTGGACTATACACACTGCAATTGACAACACTTCATAGCATTTTTTAAACAGTATTGAGAAATTTTCTATGCTAGAAAACAAGGATTTTGCTAAAAATATATATTTTACTTTGAGTAATCTGTGTATATGAACAACGTGTGGGGGTAGTTTGACAGATGAAGTGGCTATGGATTGTGAAATGGTTGGTGTCAGTCAAGGAACCAAAAGCGCCCTTGGACGTGTTACCTTGGTATACTATACACTGAATAGCACAATGGCTCCTTCTCTTCGTTCTACGTGAAGCTCACTGATTGTTTCACCTGTGTTATTGTTACAGGTAAACAAATGGGGGAATGTTCTATACGATGAGTTTGTACGTCCAGTGGAACGTGTTGTTGACTTTCGAACGCATATTAGTGGCATTCGACCTCGAGACTTAAGAAAAGGTTGGTTTCACTTTCATCATTCTTCTTGACTCTGTCAGCATTCCTGCTCTTTGCAAATGTATTGGAACGTATGCTAAATAGTTTGGAACTTTCTTTTTTTTGTTCTTTTAATCTCCAGCCAAAGATTTCCGAGTTGCTCAGACCAAAGTAGCGGAGTTAATCAAGGGAAAGATTCTCGTGGGACATGCTTTGCACAACGATCTCAAGGTCTGTAGGTTTCACGAGTCTGATAACATTGCCTAACACATAGTTTTAACAGAACTAGACTTTGCAACAGGTTTTGCTGTTAACTCACCCGAAAAAGGACATAAGGGACACAGCAGAGTATCAGCCCTTTCTCAAGTACTCACACCTTAGCATCCCCTCTCTTGTCTTTTCCCTGATTCTTGTCACACTTTTTAAAACCTTTCAATCGAATCCTAATGAACCCAACTTGTAATCTTTGAAACAGGGACAAAACAAGAAAGTCTTTGAAACATCTAGCATCTGAGTTTCTAGGAGCCGACATTCAAAACGGAGAGCATTGTCCTGTAAGTGTAACAAACATCTTTGATTCCACTTTACCATGTTTCTTTAGATCCGCAAATCTAAACTCTTGTTCCATCAACAGATTGATGATGCAAGAGCGGCAATGCTGCTTTACCAGAAGAACAGAAGAGAGTGGGAGAGAAACGTGAAAGACCAGACACGGATGAGGCTGAAACAAAAGAAGCGTAAGCCTAAGAAGAAAGTAAAGGAAGCTAATCACTCCCCAAGTATTTGAATCAATCAATTAAACAAAAACCAACAATAGCTGAAAAGTTTTGTTTGCCTCTTCCATTTTTGCTGTGGCCTTTGAATTACTCTTTACCTCTTAGCATTAGGCTCCCACAATGTACCATCTTGTTGTATACAAGTTTATCACGACGTTATACCATATTAGCTCCATGTATTATCAAAATACTCTTTTCTCATGTGGACTTACTTTTATGTAACTCGGTTTTGTCTAGTTAGGCTTTCTCACATTGTCTAACTCGCTACTCTCACATGTACTGGTTTGAGATGAACGTGGAATCATATGGACTTAATGGTTTTTGTTCGCTACATGCATCATGTGTTGATGATGTCTTGACATTTTTGGCTCAATATGCATAATTGCTAAATGGTTTGCGCACTGTTTCGAGCTAATACCTCTGGCTTACTGATTTTCTGGTCGAATCAGATCGGTTTGTTCCAAACCCGGTTGATCTAAACCAAAAGCTTGCATGAACAGTCAAGTAAACAAACCCAGCTCTGCGGACGCTAACGCTGCCACGTCTTCAGTTTTCCGTTTCTGTGTTAATAAGAAACCTTTAAAGTCTTAAAATAGAAAAAAAAAAACAGATTTTCGCATCAACGAAGAAGACGACGACGGAGAAATGCGAGTGATGAGATCATTGCTTCATAGCTCTAAAGCCGGATTTATTTTCCGGTTAAGCTCTCGTCGGAGCATCTTCACCGGTTGTCGTGCAGTGATGCTGCCTCGCTTCGGCGGCCCTGAGGTTTTAGAGCTCCGGGAGAATGTTCCGGTGCCGAATCTCAACCCTAACGAGGTCCTCGTCCGTGCGAAAGCTGTTTCCATTAATCCTCTCGATTGCAGAGTGAGTCTTCTCTGCTTTGATCCGCTTTTGATTGCATTTCATTTTGCTTTAGTGAGAACATGCATTTGGATACAATCGGAGATTCCTGGATTAGGCTTTAGCATCATCCCTTAGATTGGATCTATTACCTATGAAATTGAAAGTTAAATCTCTCATTATTAATGAGGAACATCCCATATCGGAAATATAAGAATTAAATTACTACTAGGACCAGTCCACTAATAACCAATTGGTTTTAAGTTGGAAGTCCATAATAAATCCGAATCTAACACTCATTGATGACTCTGTGAGTAAAGATTAGTGAGATTTGCTTTATTATGATTTTTTTTTTTTTTTTTGCTGATAATTGCGTATTTGATGTTAGTTACGAGCAGGATATGGGCGTTCTGTGTTACAACCGCATCTACCTGTTATAATTGGACGCGATATCAGTGGTGAAGTTGCAGCTATTGGTAATTCAGTTAAATCGTTTAAAGTAGGGCAAGAAGTTTTTGGTGCGTTGCATCCTACTGCGTTGAGAGGCACTTATACTGATTTTGGGATACTTTCTGAGGAGGAACTTACTGAAAAGCCATCATCTGTTTCTCATGTGGTAAGTAGGATAGATCTGTAGACATTTTAAACTTCTCTGTTGGCTGATTGAATGTGTTTACTTGGCTAGCCATTTTGATTGCAGCTGTTTTTTTTGTAGGATGCAAGTGCTATTCCTTTCGCTGCGTTGACTGCTTGGCGTGCTTTGAAGAGTAATGCTCGGATACTCGAAGGGTATGATTTTGAGAAACTGTTATTATCTTCATGTGGCAAGAAGCTGAGACTAATACATATTCACACAGAAGCTGAGATTATCTACATGTTCCTCTCTGAACCTTTTTATTTTGCAGACAAAGGCTATTAGTTTTTGGAGGAGGAGCAGTAGGTTTTGCTGCAATCCAGCTGGGGGTAGCCTTTGGGTGTCATGTTACAGCCTCTTGTGTTGGTCAGACCAAAGATAGAATACTGGCAGCTGGTGCTGAGCAAGCTGTTGACTACTTAACCGAGGTAGACAGACGTTGTTTATTTATCTGCTGATCCGAAGTAGAGCCATGATTATATTGATCTTGGTTTCATGAACCTGGATCTGTTTCATGTACAGGACATTGAGGTGGCAGTGAAGGGAAAGTTTGACGCTGTGTTGGATACTATTGGTCGGCCTGAGACCGAGAGGATAGGCATAAACTTCTTGAGGAAGGGTGGGAACTATATGACTCTCCAGGTATATTATAGTTCTTTGTCTTTGCCTTACGAGAGCTACCTTTGCTTTTGCATAACAAGAGTTGTTTTATTCTCTCTTGTATTGATTTGTTGAAGGGTGAGGCTGCATCATTAACTGATAGATACGGTTTTGTGATTGGGCTTCCGCTTGCAACTTCACTCTTGGCAAAGAAAAAGATACAGTATCAGTATTCTCATGGAATAGGTATATGATAGTTCTCTCTCTGCATTACTCTCACTTTAATGTTTCAGGAACTCTTCTTTTAGTGAGACATGTCTCATTAAGCTTATTGAGAGTGAAAATAAAAGGTAACTCAGATCAAATCTGAATGTAAATACAGACTATTGGTGGACGTATATGAGGGCTGATCCTGAAGGTCTAGCTGAGATTCAACGGTTGGTTGGAGCCGGAAAGCTAAAGATACCAGTGGAAAAGACATTTCCGATAACCGAAGTTGTAGCAGCTCATGAAGCCAAGGAGAAGAAGCTGATTCCTGGTAAGGTGGTTCTAGAGTTCTGAACTATATACATAAGAGTAACAATAAATACCTGCAGAACTCCGTAGCAGTTGTTCTTTTTTAGAAATTATACACACGCAGAAGAAACAAATGTATCTGCGTCTGGAGTTAGATCTATCAGGCTTAGGATTCACATCAAGAACATCAAGTTTCTGTATAGACTTTTCAAACGGTTCATTTTGTTTTGGACATTGTTTTTGTTGCAACTTGTAGTAAACCAAACTAAGCCGAGTAATGAAAAATGGTTTAGTTCTGTATTTTTTGGTGTCATCTTATTATATTTGACTCATTGAATCTTATTAATGCCAAAATTGATCTATCCACAACAACGTATTACTCCCAAACAAACAACAAAACATACTGGATTTGGATGATCTTCTGGATAATATACATAGGAGTTTCTTCAAACCATTATTTTCAGTCTGAGATTTAAACCTTAAGATCTAACGTATGAACTATTGAACAATAAGATAATGTAGATGTCAATCTCAATTAAATAAGTCATACATAACTGCAAGTTGTGTGACGTGAAGCTAAAGTTAATCACATGATCGAACAAATCCCACAAAATCAAAATCCAACCTCATATCATCTACTTCTCCTTTTTAGTACATGATTAAAAAAAACTCAATTAATGGTTAATTTAATGGCCTCGAAGTGTCATTAAAAGCATAACATGGCAGCGTTAATCAGCTTATTAAATGAATGTTTTGTCTGGTTCTCGTCCTTTAATGGTCCAGTCAAACTCTTGTATCCTCTGCCAGACCAGCAAACAAATTTAATTCTCCATACGCGCTACTCAGCGCGTATCTTCACAGCCTTCTTACCGAGTAATTCAACGTCATCAGTGGGACAAGGAACATTCTTTTGCCCTTCGAGTCTTTGAAACTTTCGTCAGGTACATGCTATGTTTGTTCCCAAGTCAGAAAATTTCTTTAGTTTCTTCTAAATATCTAGTGAAATCATATGCTCTGTTCTACTCTACAGTCTACACACTCTATTATTCGTTGTGGACCAATGATCATGTATATAAATTTCATCATAGTTATTGCCAGTTAGATCGCGTAGGTCTCTGTAATCAATTTGCCATTTATTGCATATAATTATACTCGTATACAACAATGTTGGTTCTTCTGGAAAACCGAATTGGTACATTTTAATACAAGTCTTAGTAATACGTAACTGAATATGAGCTTATCTAGGATTTGTTTTGTTACTTTTGTAATGATATATAATTTCTACATACAATGCAATGTTCTTACAAAATTTCTCTTTGTATCAAATAACCTTTCAGATAGCTGAAGCAAGTATGCATTTAGTATTTACTATATATGGTACAGAAAATAAACCTAATCAGGCCAAAATATTGGTGTATAATTGATAAATTAAATAAAAAGTAGTAGCGTTATTAAAAGCATGTTAATGCAATGTTGTGGCTTCTAGTGTGGTCCTTTTAATGGTCTGGTCAAACTCCTTTCTTATCTCTGTATGTCTGCCACATCACCTACCCATCTTCCATTATTTTCTGTTTATTATGACCGTTGCTTCGCGGTCCATTACGCGCGTATTTTCTATTCTAATGTTCATGCATCTTACCTTTTCTTTTACTATATGTAAATTGGATCTATGAATGAAACTTGTAGAGTATATGTACAGGGAGATGCGCTTTCTTATCTTCATTAAATACTAGTATATATTTGGCCATTTGGGATTGAAGGGTTTATTTTGTTTGTTCGAAAATATATTTTAAATGTTGTTTTGTTTTGTTTTGTATATGTTGATAACATGTAACTTAACTTTACGAGCAGTGTAGGAACATATTTTGGTATGAGTTTATCTATCTAATCAGAGCAGCAATCATCTCTCTGCTTTTTGAAACTGAATTATTAAGAGTATAGCTATCTAATAATTATTTGAACATACTCCACTTTGGAACAACATAAATGGTGAAAGAAGAGAGTGGGTCAGACCCGTTAAGTGCTACAAAAAGCGACACGACGTGCCTTTAGTTTCATGCTTCCACAAAAAAGCAAAGTGACAACTTCACGAGAAGAAAACTCGAAATGGTAGTATTATAAAATTAGATTAAATAGTATATAAGATGTAATAATTAGAGCTAAAAACAAGAAGAACAACGGCCATGTCGACTCATTACCCTATCTCCGGGTAGTCCGATCACGTGCAAGCTTTGGGTTCTATAATGCTTTTAGGTATATATAATAAGAGTTTTTCTTCTTTATTTGAGCCAACAAAAAAAAGTTTCGTCTTCTTTAATTTTTTTTTAATTAAGATGATATCTTTCCTATTATTTGTATTCGACAATATTTAGCCTAAACCATGTGACGAGGACTTCTGGTCTAGTGTTCTATCATTATGAACAAGAAAAAAGGCAATGTCCCCTTAATTCGCTTTTTATAAAAATATAATTTTTTGGTTTGGTTTATTTTCCCGTTTCGTAATCCAAATGTTTGGTCATTAGATGAGCAAATCTCAACCAATTATCTCAAATGATTAAAATTTCGAGCCAAAACACAGTAGGAATATTCTGTAAGTATCCAATAGATCCCAACACCTGGTCTTCCTAATGCATTGGTTATAACGTAACAACATCTTCTAAAGGGTTTCCAAGAACATACGTACATGTTTGATATAAAAATAGGATATATCAAAGTATATCTGCTCTTATAGATCCATTTTGATATCCATAATGTGGAATAAACCCTACCACTCTAACCACCCAAATCAATCAACGTACTACCTACAAAACCAATATGCAAATTGAAATGATTTAGAATTGGTTTTTGTTTTCCCGCAACTATTATAATCATCGATAGATTTGAATGAGAACATAACACACTAGATAACAAAAATAAAGTTGTTTGTCATTTATATATTGACAAAAATACATGTTACAATTTGCAGTCAAACTGTTGATGTAGTGTTTCTAACTCATATACATTTTTATCAAATTTGCAGCCAAATCGTAAGCTGATTTTTCACAGTTTTCCCAAAAGCGCACCTGTTATAAATAAATTGCTATCTAAAATCATACATGGATAGAAATATATGATAAAGAAAGTATGAATCTATGATATGACATACAAATAACTTTGAAAATATATCATGAAAAAAGAGACTTTGTCCATGGGGTCCAATAATCTCAGTTACAAGGAAAAAATATCTTAGAACTTTTGAATGTCACAAAAAGTCATATCTTTTCAAAAACATTAGTTATTTTCCACCAAAGTTAATAAAGAAGAAAAAAAAAAAAGACTACGAAAACAATACATGCAAATATACACAAGAGACATGCGTGTCTGAGTGTTTGTGTTTTCGGGAAAGCCAATAGCTTTACTCTGTGCACATGTGTGTATCCACAGAGCGACGTACGAACCCTTTAAACTCAATGAGTCATATCACTCTCATGGGCCACACTTTCACTTTTCCCAAATTACTACTTTACCCTTTTCACTAACAACTTAGTCAAAGATAATTAGCGAGTTTTAGGAGGAACGAATCTTACCCTAATTAGATTTAAGGGTAGTTTAGTAATTTACAACAGAACACCTCTTTAGTCTTGAAAACTATACCATCTCCAAATGTCTATGTCTCTACTTCACTCTCACAGTAAAAAAAAAAAAAGATAACAATGGCGGAAACTGAGAGACCCCACCGTTCTTCAAGTATTAACAGTAGCAGCAACAACACAAGAAACGCTACTTCTTCTTCTTCAACAGATTTATTCATTTGTTTCACATCTCGCTTCTCTTCCTCTACCTCCTCCATGCGCCTCTCTTCCCTCAGCCCAGCTCGCTCCGCCTGTCTCACCACTTCTCTCAGCCGTCGTCTCCGTACTAGCGGCAGCTTAAAAAACGCCTCAGCAGGAGTTCTCAACTCTCCGATGTTCGGTAACAACGTAGGAGTACGGAAGAGATCTGGATCCGGCTACGATAACAATAATAATAACAATAACAATAACATAGAGCCTTCGTCTCCGAAGGTGACGTGTATCGGACAAGTAAGGGTGAAGACGAGGAAGCATGTGAAGAAGAAGATGAGAGCGAGATCCAGGAGGAAAGGAGGCGAGACGAGCAGCAGCTTCAGGAGATCATCGAGTGATCAAAACGACAGAGGAGGGTGTCGTTTCGACGCGAGCGAGAACCGTTGGGTTCATTTCCCCGTGACGATCTGCGAGTCGTTGAGATCGTTCGGCTCCGACCTTAACTGCTTCTCCTCCCCGTGTAGATCCTCTTGCGCCGACGGGAGGCGAGGTGAGAGCAATAACGGTGGTGGCGGATGCGGAGGAGGAGGAGGCTCGTGCGGCGCGGTGTTCACGCGGTGGTTCGTGGCGGTGGAGGAGACGGGAGGGAAGAGGAGGGAGATTGAGCTTGTGGTCGGAGGTGGAGAGGAGGCGGCGGAGGATGAGGTGGAGGATATGAGGAGGAGGAGTCGGCGGAGGCATGTTTTCGAGGGGATTGATTTGAGTGAGATTGAGATGAAGACGGAGAGGAGAGAGAGGGAGATGGTTAATTTCTGTTCTCCGCCGAAGAATGCTTTGCTGTTGATGAGGTGTAGATCTGATCCGGTTAAGGTGGCGGCGTTAGCTAACCGGGTTCGTGAGAGACAGATGTCGCTTGATGAAGGCGCGTGTGGAAGAGAGGAGGAAGAGGATGAGGAGAGGAGGAGGTTTGAGCTCGATTTGGAGGATAAGAAGCGGATTGAGTTGTGTGAGAAATGGATCTCTGGAGAGACTATTGTTGAGAGAGAGGTTGTGGTAGTAGTTCCAGAAACTCCTAAAGAGGAAGAACTTGTGGAAGTTTCTGAAGATTCAGAAGGTTCCAAGATACAAGAGGAAGAGATTGAAGCTATGATCATTAAACTCATTGAAGATGATCTCAGAAAGGCTATTGAAGAAGAGGAGCATATAACTGAGATGGAAGAAGAAGAAGAAAGGAAAGAAGAGGAAGAGCTAACTGCCTCTGTGACACCAAACGTAGAAAGATCCAACCAAGGAAACAGAGAACCCGACCCGAGTCCGGAAGTGATAACCAGAGGAGGAGATCAACAACAACAGGAAACAGCTGAGAAAGAGAAAACGACGCCGTATAAGGTGTTACCGGATTGTCTGTTACTAATGATGTGTGAGCCAAAGCTTTCCATGGAAGTCTCAAAGGAGACTTGGGTCTGCTCCACAGATTTCGTTAGATGTCAACCGGGAAGACCTCCGGCTAAGAAGATAACAGAAGCTACCGGAGATCATCATCACCATCATCAACAACAACAACCGAAGAAACGAATTGTCTCCGCCGTTGATTCAAACGCATCATCTCGCCGGCGTTCAATCGATAAACGACCTGTTCACCAATCTCTGTTACAGCCGCCACGGTCGTCGTGCTCATATCCGGCAGCTCCGCCGTTATTAACGGCGGCTGCTTCGGTTAGGGAGCAGAAGGTAGTCGGAGGTAATAATAAGGGGTACGAGCCACCGGTGTTGCCACGTTGCAAATCGGAGCCGAGGAAGTCAGCTTCGAAGCTTGCGCCGGAAGCTTGTTTCTGGAAGAATCGGAAGCTCGAGGCTCATCCTCCAGCAACCGTCGGAGTCGGCGGCGGCGCCGGAGTAGGGTTCTAGATGAAAGGGTTGAGTGAGAATAAGAGAAACTATTTGGGGTGTAATAATAATTTCCGAATATTTATTTGTCCTTGTTTGTAAATTTTGTTTTTGTTAGTCACAATTAATTTCTTGCGCTATTCCAATGTTTTCTTTTCATGAAAATCTGTATCCTTCTTTTGTCCGTTAGTTTAATGTCTTCTTTCTCTGGTCGATAATGTCCCATCGAACCTAACACCAACTAATCACGTCCCAACAAACAGGTACATAGTTACAAAATATTCAAATAAAAACTTTATTTTGTTTATTATTATTACATGTTTCATAGTACAAAATACAAGTACAAAGACCTGTCTACTCAGTATCACCCGAACTTTGATCCTCACTGCTTTTATTTACTTCAGTGTTGTTGTTACCAGATGAGTCTCCAGGCTCTGTTCTGGCCTTCATGGCATCATCAGACTCTTCATTGAAGGCTAGCTGACCAGAGTAAAGGAGCAGTCCGACAGCATTGATACCGAAAACAAATGTTGCTAAATAGCATATACCGTTTATGATAGTCCTGCAAGAAAACAATGAAGAGTTTGGTCTTAAAAAATTGCGAGAAATGACTTGAGATGAAAACAGAGAAGGTAGTGAAGCTTATATATGTACAACACCTTACGGTTACTGTGATTTGCCTAACCTGCAAAGAGAATAGAACACAGATAAATCTTTTGTAGAAGTTTAGGTTCTCAAATGAATGTATAAACTAGTTAGCATAGAAATCCAGAAACCACGGTTTGGACACTCTTTACAATGATAAACATGGGATGAGAATCTTTAGATAGATTGCAAGAACATGTCCTTTTCACATCGTGAATATAAATCTAGCCGCGCACTGAAATCAGAAACCATGGGACTAGGGAGCACTTTATTCCATACTCTTATCTCTCAGTTATGGGCGTTTACATATATTGAAACCATGATGATACTTATCCACTTCTTTTTTTTCTTATCTCCTCTAAGTTATGTACATTTACTGATGCACGAGACTATAATGATACTTGGAACACAAGGAAGGATAATGATCAAGAGAAAAAATACCGAGAAGTTATCAGAAATAGTCTGGCGATTGAGTCCAGCTTCAATGGTAGTAGTGAACTTATATAAAATAACAGCAATGACACCTGCTGAAACCGCACCAAGAAACGCCTGCGCCGCCGATGGAGTAGACTTACCTTCTTCCATCGGAGCAGACCCCATTGCTTTCAGTTTCTCCATCGCTTCATCTTTCAACGACTTCTTCGCTGCTCCACTCGATCTAAACGTCTACAATTATATTCCCACACAAAGTCGAAAACTTTTAATTCGAATTCCTTGAGAGGAAGAGGAAAGCTGAAAACTTTACCAGCTCTTTGGAGCGTTTCGCTCGCCGTCGAATTGATCGGAAGAGGAAGACAGTGATGGCGCCGGTTAGCATTACGCTGGTGGCTAACTGGAGAGGAGAGGGGTCGTCGGAAGTGGCGAATATTGAGTTAGTAGTCGAAAACGGAGATGTTGCCGAGGGAGGAAGCTCGATAGGACCGTCTTCTACCTCTACATCGGAGGTTTCTTCGACGGCGGAAACTCGGATTCTATTCCGGGTGAAAGCCGAGAGTGTTAGGAACGGGGAGATAGATTCCGGTGGACGATAGAGAGAGGTGAGACGCGTGGTACGGAGACGGTGAGGTGGAGAGAAGGCGGAAGTGGAGAAGGAGAAGAGACATTGGTGGCTCTGCAACACTGACATCTTAGCCGTCGGAGATTTTTTTTATCTCTACCATTACAGTCCTCAAATATCCTTCGGTGAAGCCTCTCCTTCGTTTAGAGTGTCCTGAATCAAATTATTATTAGTATTTTTATTTCTTTTCTTTTTTGAATCAAATTATATGTGATCATTTTATAAACTAGAAAATGAATTGAATCTTATTATGTAAATTAATAGAAAAAATATTCCTTGATTTAAATTATGGTACAAACAAAATTATGTATATGAGAAAAATTACAAAATTGGCTTTTTTTTACTTAAGTAATGTTTATACATATTTCTATTTCTTGATTTTCTATGATTATAATTTATCTTTTGGGATAAAAAATAATATATATATATATAATTATATATTTTTAATATATTTTCTTATTTTTCCAATATATATAATATATAAACAATTATCTGATAAATTTGTGTAAACGATATTAACCAATCTATAAATTATGTTTTTTAAATATGTTTTTATTTTTTGGTCAATTTATATATTAGATCATAAAAAATAACTAATAATAAAAAAAATTTACTTTTAATATGAAAGTTCAAATATAAAAATCACTTTGCAATTAACATTATTAAAGTTTCAAAAATTAATTTTTGTACTTAATTACTGTTAATACATCTTCTTATTTCTTAGATTTAATTCTTTAATGTTTAACAAATTTTTTGCTGATAATAACCAGGTATATGTAGGAATTATATGTTAATATATATATAACATATAAATCTAATATTATTAATATAAAATTCATTTTAATTTAATTATATAATATATTGTATAAAACTATTCATTAATAATAATATTGATATTAACCACTCTAATTTTTAACGTGAGAACTCAATGTGAATAATCACTTTGTTTCGTTTGATGTTAGTAATCAAACGAAAAAAATAATCACTACGTTTCATTTGATGTTAATAGAATTATGGTAATTTGTAATTGAATAATGAACGAGTTTTAAAAATAGTATTTCACTTGATTGTTTAATCCACTTCTTATGAATTACTACTCCAAGCTTTCGCCATCAAATCATCTAACACATTATCATGTCTGCTTCATTATTTTTGGTAAAACAATCAAGTGATTTTTAATGATTAAAAATAGAACGAAAGAATATGAGAAATGAAGTTATATATCAATAGAGAATCATTTGTTGTTGTCAACGAAAAGAAACAATTTCATCAGCATTCTTGTCGAACATTACTAGCGACGGTTCGAGCCCAAAACTTGATTTGAGCTTTCATGTCTTTTCTAGACTCCTTTGGAACCCAGACCGGAATCGGCTGCCCCATCCCCATTACTGACTGGCTCTTCACGGCTGCTCTTGGGACCCTCCTCTGTTCTTCATCATCTTTTTCTTGTCCCTCCTCCGGTTCATTAATGTCCAACTCCTTCAACATCAAAATCTCTTTGGTGTCAATGCTGCTTACCGTCTTACGCAATGTTTTACTTCCTTGTGACTTGACGACAATTTCTTGAATAGCTTCTTGTAATCTTGAGTTTCTCGGTGGTCTATGCCTCGGAATGCTTAGAATCTGCACCAAAGTTTTGAAAACATTCTTGTCAAATTCATACTTTCCATAACAGGAAAAATATATTGTAAAACATCCAAAAGTAGAAAATAATCTAATCATACCAAGAAAAGAAAAATACAATGAAAAGAAAGAAGAGACCACCTTTGGTGTATTCTGTTTCGTTGGAGTAGTAAACCCAGAAGAAGAGCTTGCGACAGCTTCACGGATCAAGAACCCCATTCTCGAATCGTCACTCTCTTGATCGTGAAACTCGTTTTCATCACTTTCTCTTCCTATGTAAGTAGGCAATGTTTGAGTTCTCTGCAAACTCCCTCCCATTGAGACACTCTTGTTATTACAACTAGTATTACCGGTTCTGTCCTTTTTAGAACTTACTTTAACTCTTCTCTCTCCACGAACCACAGGTTCCTTCTTCTGCAAGTAAGTTGTTCGTTCTTGAGCCCTAATCTTCTCTGAGAACTGCCTTCTCATCTTTTTCATCTTCTCAGGCTTGCTTTCCCCTTCTTCTTTCACTATACACGGTGGTGGAACAGAATCTCCCACCGTGGGAACTTCTAGAATCTTCTTCTCCGAATCCGAATCTCCAGTTTTCAAGAATTCGGGTTTCGGATAAGAGGAAGACGGAGAGGGAGAAAAGGGGTAAGGATCTGAATGACAGTACCTCAAGATTCTTGATCTTCTGCCAAGTAAGTTATCAAAGAACCAGAAGTCTTCGAGAAGATCATCAATAGCTTCGACTTGTTCAAACTCTTGATGATCGTTCGAAGTAGGATCCATTTTGCAGACAAGAGATAACAAAAAGAGATAAGTATTTGTTCTTTCTTTCTTGTTCTCCTGCTTTTGTTCGGTTTGTATTTGAAGGATTCTGAAGAATGGGGACTTATTAGGACGTGCCCATGTGGGCAACCATTCAGCACTTCATTTTCTAAAAATGTTAAATTATTAATGTTTTTTTGTGGAGTCAATTTTTTTTTGTTTTATTACCATAAGCCAATAAAAGAAAGCAAAGAAATTTGAATGAAAACAACAAAGGAATCTGAGGATTATTTCTAATATATTAGATTCTTTCATTTTCGAATTAAATTCTGATTTTGGAGTCAACATATACATTGCATTTGTATAAAAAAAATGTTCTTGATAAAAATCAATTTTTAATTTCATTTAGGAATATCCAGAAACTAATCTTGCATTAGTTTTCGAAAAAAAAGAAAAAAAACAATAATTAAGTACTATATAAGTGGATAATTAGAATAAAACTATATATTAAGCAATCAAAAGGATTACTTGGCAACAACTAAGAAAAAAATAAGGTTTCAAAAGAAAGGTATGATTGCTAAGAAACGGCATAATAAGCCCTGTCATGACAGTCAACATGCCATGTGATTCATATACTAATATGTAACAAACTGGCTTCTATATTTTATAAAAATACTACAAGTTTTTCATTATATATTCTTTGTTCTCCATCGCCTCCTACGTGACAGCTAAGAACTATAGTAATCTAATAAATACATGTAATGTAAAAGCAATAAGTCTCTCGAGCTTTGCACCTATATTGTTCTCCAATGATAAGCTTACATTGCATAATGCTATATAATAAACACTAATTATCTTAATCCGCCGTAATCTTTACTGCGTGGCATGTGGCTAAGGCTAATTAGTGATGGATATAGAGAATTAAACTAGCTGCGGACCTAAACATTTGTCGATGATGATGTGGAAAAGATTGCTCCAAAGAAGTTAGAACAATCACATCACATCAAATCTCAAGAGGGAAATTGTTTATCAACCAAAACAAACGCTAAATCTTACAGAAAGTTGTGGTCTTAAACAGCCTCTATGACCTGTGAATCTGCAAAACGTTACCTAAAAAGACTTGGCTAAGTAGTTTACGTATCATACAGCTTGTTGGGTCTGTCATGTTTCGTTAGGGCTGCTTACTTGATCCGGTTCTTGAACAGAAACTCGACGTTTCTGACATTAGACTTGCTCCTTCGTGCGGTGAGCTTGAGTACTGCACCATCCGCGAGCATCCGTTGCACCACTCTTGTGATGTTCTTCGTGTCATCAATGCCTAGATGGTGGCTTCCCATGAGCCTTATTCCACATTGCTTCATCATTGACACCATTCCTCTGGCCTGTCATGTTTATCCACTAACTGATGAGTTTATCATAAAACATACACAAGGATGAGACATGGTAGAAAAATCCAAGTTACCTCACGTCCGTAGAAATTCAAGTAGACGTCTTTGAGATTAATCCACTCCATAAAGTATTGCGGAAGGTTGATATTAGCCACTACGCATTGCTCAGGAATCTTTGTCTTTATATCCCAGTTTCCACTGATAACATTAACTTAATCAGTTTCCAAAAGATGCTAGGAACAACAGAGACAAGCTCATCTCATATAATTAATACTCACCAGGTTATAAAAGCTGCATCATTCAGAGTCCCGTCTGTTTCTTTACCCCACAAGCCATGCTCAGCTAACCAGCTTTCAAATTCGTCCACAACTTGCTTAAATGGAATAGCTGTGTCATGCCACACTCTGCAATTCGATTTAGACAGAGTTAGTGTGCTGGATTCAGAAACAAAAGGCTGCTCACATGCAACTATCTTATGGTAGCAGAATATAAATTCACTATAGCATTCGGTAACTAGTAGCAAGGATCACACTCATGCGAATAAACTGATAACACAACAAGTAAGATCGAAGTAGGCATACCGATCAACACCAACTTCGCCATACTTGCCTTCGATGTACTTGTTAATTGCTTGCTCGCTCATTTTGGTGGGTCTCACAAACCTTATGAAGTATAAAAAACAAATAATCAAAAACCACATTGAGCAATGAAATTCATAAAGAGTCATAAACCTGATAGCCATCCTTCTTATCGCTAACCATACGAACACCCGAAGATCCAATGAGCATTAAATAAAAAAAAGTTGATTTTTATGAATATAGGAACCAGTTATAACCTGTGGAACAAGTCTACGACTTGCATGGTTTTGGCGTCTACGATCAAAACAGGAAACTCAAGAATCTCAACTTTTCCTTCCAAGTCAAGAACCAAGAAAAAGTCGAACTCTTGTGGCTTCAATCTCTCAAGATCAGCAGCTGTCACTGGAAGTTCCTTGGTGCAATCATGGTTGAAAACTTCCAAATGGGCTGGATCATCCATCTGACGTCACCACCATATAAGCTTTTATTATTTTATTCAAGTATAAACAAAACGGGTAAAGAACAGTGACAAATAAAACAAGTTCCAAAATCACTCAAGGCATTCCATCGAACAGGTTGTGGACATTGTATAGTTGATGAAATAAAATTATCATAATACAACTTGTTTCGAAACAACACACGAAGCAGGAACTAAAGCAACACATGGGTACTGATCTTTGTAAGGAAAACACAATTAAACAAGAAAGAAGAGTGGCAAAGTGTTGACCTTTGTGCACTTCCCGTGAGTGTAATACAAACACATGGGTCTCCACCTCTGGTTTTCATTTGTTTCCATCAATGAAAAAGAAGAAGGAGAAGTATCAGACAGAGAGGAAGATACAGAATGGGAAGAGCTGCAGAGGACTCGATAGGAATGGGCTAAAGCGGACGTCGCTGGATAAGAGAAGTGCTTAGCACGGAAAGGACTAATTCTGGATATCGAAACCCTAAATGCAGAGAGAGCAGACGCCATTCTCGTCGAATTGCATCAAACTCAAAGCTACCTCCTTTTCGAGTAATTGAGGTAGATGATGATCGGTTAATTAACCAATCCCAAACCGAAACAAAATTGAATTTGAAAACCAAACTCATTAAACTCTAACCATAACCAAATCAAACCAAACCGACTAATGTTTCATAAACCGACTTAGCCAAGTTGAATAAAGAGCAACACAGCCTATTTACATCCAAAAGTGGAAACAAATTGGTAGCACTAGATAAATATAGTTAGAAAGTTGCGAACTTGAAGAAACATATGGGCTTCAACTTTTGCTTATGAGATGTTTGATCTCTTCTAATCTTCATCATCTGCATTTGTGAAGTCTTCAATCACTTCGTCTCTGTTAGATTCTTTGTTCATCGTGCGTAGCTCCTCAATTTCAAACTTCAGCATTGGATCACATACCACATTGTTGTTCTTCAGTTTACCTCGGCAGCCTGAAGAAGTGTGCCATAGGAATCAAAAACCAGCATGGAGGAGGAAACAAGAGAGATATGTGTTGAGCAAAAGAAGTTATCTTTACCAGCTATAGGACATTTCGCATTGGGATTGGTGGCTATGTAATGCATGATTGAGGCTTTGTCGTAGACATGCTTGCAGTCCATACTGCAACCAGAAAAAAGGATCACAAAGACACTCGGTCACAATTGTCTATCATTCATGTAATTAGTTTTACTACTGCAAGAAAGATGAAATAATATGACTTTTTATGATCACTTATGCAACTCAGAATCTAGTAGATATGGCTTTAAAGATGATACCAAAGTAGGGGAAAGGACAAGCAAATATTAAGAACGAAACAAAACATCCTAGTTAAGAAAGGATTAAATAACAAAAAAAAAAAAACAAGCCATCTTTTGTACCTGCGAACTGGATCTGTTAGTTCAGTGAGAGGCTTCCCACTCACAGGGCATTTCACGTTTAAGAAAGGGCACTGAGTACTAGTCATGACAATGTCCTCTTCGTCCTCACCAGGCATTGGTTCACCTGCATGATGAACGTTCTGCAGAAAAATAGTTACACGAACTTAAAAGGAAATCAGATGAAATACCTATTCAACTCAAGCTAAGAAGAGAAAACTGAACAACGTTATCATTCTTATAAAAAGAAAATATAAAACTAAGGACCAAACAGATTTATGACAGGGAATATCACAGATGGCATACCCAAACAGCTTCCCTGAACTGACGCATCAAAAGATGATTTTGTGGCACTGAAGAAGCTTTAGTCTTGAGCTTTGTGAACTCATCCTCAAGCAACTTTTTAAAGTCAGTTAACTGCAGTCATTAAATCGAGTCAGAAAGCAGTCAGCTAAAACTAATAATCATTTAGATTTTAACACATGAAGGAGAAAAGTGTATATACCTGTTCTCCAGGCTGGTACCCATTTGCAACAGAGTGAATAGCCGAAGAACGATGAGCACAATCACCATACAAATCCAACAATTCAGCCACAGAATTTTCAAGGTCTTTTACCTGTGGGAACCCAAGACAAAGAGCTTGCGTTAAGCTAACAAAACATCATAGTCAGAGGTTTTAAGGATAATAATAACACACCTTCTCAGACTGGTTATCTTTCTCCGACTGAACAGCAATGTTCTTCATCATAATCACAGCTTTACGTATGTCCTTTCAAAAAACACAAAGTACACAAAACCTATAAGAGGAAAACCCACTCCAGAGGAAAACAAGAGTGAGGATTCAACTTCGACCAATGAGAGAAAGCATCTCCTTTTCACTTATAACTAAACAAACCCATCATCATCCTAAGCTCTTAGGTCTCAATTTCACAGAAATCAATATTCCAAAATCAGAACTTTGTGCGAAAATAAGAGAATGAAAAAGCACTCACAGAGATTGTGGAATCGTTGTCGGAAACAAGAACCAACGATGCGTTTCGAAGCCTTCCGGCGACTCCGTTTGAAGAGGACGCCGACGCCATGTTTTTTGGAGGGAGAGTACTGAGAAGACGGAGAAAGGTGGAGGAGGCTGTATAAAAAAATACTCGAGGTTTGATGAAGAAACTGCGTGCCGTCTTCTGAGTCTATAAATGACATGCTGTCTCTGAGGATATGAAAACTTTGCAATCTATTTGTCACCTGGAAAACTTTAACTTTGGGCTTAAACCTGAAGGCTGCGGCCCAATCCATTCTCGGGATTGCCTATATGACGCTTTTGCCCTCACCGAAAAAGAAAAAGAAAAGACGGAGGTGTTGCCGTAGAGTCGTAAAACTAGCCCGTAGGGTTCAGGCAGATATGATTCGCTCATACACCACAGATACATACGTCACTACATCTCTGTTCTCGTAGAAACGACAATCCACAATTATTGATTCTTTAGCATTGTCTATGACTTTGTAAAAAATTCATTTCTCACTCAAGAAAATCAGTTGTTGACACTTGACAGTTAACAGTGATCTATTCTTTCAAATTATTTTCTTCTTGAATAATAGAAACGTATTATCTACAAAAAAAAATGCAACCCCATGTGGTTATTATCTTCTCCTAATCAACTTAACGTGTCGACCTGAAGCTAAATGCGGATAAAATGACCAATTTGTGATTATATTCTTTTGTCTCCATTAGATGTGTAAAGAATATATTTCTTTTTTGTTAGAGTTATTTGTGGTGGGAAAGCATAGAGGTGAAAAATAGCAGAGGAGAAAGGGAGAAAAAAAATGAAAGATGCATGCAAAAGAAAGGATGGGAATATGATTTGATGTAAAAGCCTGTGCCAACTTTCCATCCTTTTTAATATTTATACGACGTGTCTATATCCTCTCCGTCCGTTTCATATTTCGTATGGATGTGATTTGCTTCTTATGATTTGATGCATCCATGCTCCTCTTTCTTTCTTTTTTAATTTGCGTTTTTTTTCCTTGTATCCAAGATATATTAGTGCATACAGTGAAAGAATCCAATATTTTGGTGAAGCTAAAATCCAAGTAGTATCCAATAATCTGCTGGCTAATAGGGTTAAATTAAATTTACTTTTTAATAGAATAAAGAAAAAAGATTTTGGCTGACGTAGAATCCCCTGAGATTTACGGCCATGCACGCAATGCATGCTTTCAAGTTATATACTCATTTTCCTAGATCATTATCATAATAAAATTTAGCAATTTTAACAACTACGTGCGCATATACACACTCAAACATATTATACACGCATATATATATATATATATATATATATATATATATATATATATTCGTTTTGGGGTGGAGTACTGTACACATCACCTCCTGTCTGTCACTAGCTAGTAGCTAGCTACTGTCAAATATCACATCAGTTGCTTGTTGAACAGGAGAAACACAGATCATTACAAAAGTACTCTTTTTCTTCAACTTCTCCTAGGTCTTTAAAACATTGGAATATATATCTAGGGTTTTTTGTTAGCTCTAGAGCTTCCTCCTCTTGTGTGTTGCCCATAATGGATATTGATGTGTTTAGTGATTGGGAGACATCAAAATTCGAAGATGAAACCATACTGCCCCCTGGGTTTAGGTTTCATCCAACTGATGAAGAGCTCATCACTTACTACCTCCTCAAGAAGGTCCTTGACTCCAATTTCTCCTGTGTCGCCATTTCTCAAGTTGATCTCAACAAATCTGAGCCTTGGGAGCTTCCTGGTAAGCCCCACCACTATCAAATTTTTTTTGTTTTTTTTTGTTTATGTTTTACACTTGTTCTATTAGAAAAGAAACAGCACCTGATTAACCACATCCCTATCTATGGAATCATGTCTTAAATCATCGTTATAGGTTATAAGTTTCAGTTTTTACACACCTTTAGAGTTTATAGTCATTGCTTCCTTTCTCATATTAGAAACTGGCATAGATATATAGACAAGAGTCGTTATTGGAACGTTGGTGTCTTTGTTTTAAAACAGAGTCTTATTAGTTGGAACTTTTTTGTTTCTCATAAAGTTTGAAATTGTCCTCTTTGCAAAACCTTTATGAGCAGAGAAGGCCAAAATGGGTGAAAAGGAGTGGTACTTCTTCACACTAAGAGATAGGAAGTACCCAACGGGACTGAGAACAAACAGAGCAACAGAAGCTGGTTACTGGAAAGCAACTGGTAAAGACAGAGAGATCAAAAGCTCAAAGACAAACTCACTTCTCGGGATGAAGAAAACTCTTGTCTTTTACAAAGGCAGAGCTCCTAAAGGTGAAAAAAGCTGTTGGGTCATGCATGAGTATCGTCTTGACGGAAAGTTCTCTTACCATTACATTACTTCCTCCGCTAAGGTAAATCTTTAAACCCTTTTCTCTACGTTCACTCTTATCTCAAAAATATTACTTTTACACAGGATGAATGGGTTCTCTCCAAAGTTTGTCTGAAAAGCAGCTTTGTCAGTAGAGAGACGAAGTTGATCTCTTCTCCTTCAGTTTCCTTCGCCGGAGAGTTCTCCTCCGGTGTCAGTTGCTCAGCTTCCTCCGTATCTGTAATTGCTCCGGTCATTGATGCCTTTGCGACTGAGCACGTGTCCTGTTTCTCCAATACCTCCTCTGCATCTCATGTTGATGCGAGCTTTCCTACTACGTATCTTCCCGCTCCACCACCGTCTCTGCCACGTCAGCCTCGCTGCATCGAAGATGACGTGGCGTTTGGTCAGTTGATGGGACTGGGATCTTCTGGACAGTTCAACATCGACGCAGCGTTCTTACCGAATCTACCTTCTCTGCCTCCGACGGTTCTTCATCCTCCTCCTCAGTCCTACGCACTGTACGGTGGCGCCGCCGTGAGTAGCTGGCCGTTTGCTCTCTAATGGATGGTCATTATGCGGTCGTAAAGCTTGTATGAATTCGTTTCTCAAGGAAAACAAAACTTTCGCTTTAAATGAATGTATGGCAATTGTATTAGTCTCGAACCATTTCTCTATCGCATTTTTTTTATGTTCGTGATTGTAATGTCTGTATTGTATGCATGATTTTCTATGTTGAACTAATATATGCTATTTTATTTTGCTTGCTAATAATTTCATATTTTCACTATGCTGAATGTCGTAAAAAATTAAAATTCTAGATTACCTGATTTTTTTTTGAGCAACCTGATTTTCTAGATTACCTGATAAATTTGTCTTTCAAAAGCTGAATATGATTCTGGTATATCATCACTCTCTTTAATGAGATTTTTATGTTTATATCATCACTCTCTTTAATGAGATTTTTATGTTTTTAAAAAACTTCTTTAATATTGTGAAGAAATTTAATTTTTTAATTTAGGTTTTTTATTCTAGATTTTAAAATTATATATTAATGAGTTTTATTAATGGGTCAAATTCATCTTTTAATTATTAGTTCGTTGGTTTTGCCGTATTCGACCCGCCACAGAACATATCAATTTGAAAAAAAACTAAGTTACGTATGCGGATGTAGGTCAAAGATATTTTACGCAAGATAGATGCGGATTGTTCTAATTTCAATTGTGGGTATCCCGTAATCTGTAAAAATAGAAAAAAAAAATTCATTTTTTTTCAAAAATAAACTAAAATTCGTTAAAATAATTATTTTTTTTTCAAAAATAATTAATTTAATTAAAATAATACTATTTAATATTATTTTTAGAAAAAAATAATTATTTTTATTATTAATAATTATCTGCAAAATTAAATGGGTTGGATACGGATAAATTTTTTTTTTTTGCTGATCAGATGAATCGGACTGGTCGAATTTGACTTTCCTAACACCAAGAGTAGTTAACTGATATTAATTTTTCAAATAAAACTACACAATTACATATAATACATTTATATGGATATTGGTGGTAATAATAAATTAAAATCTACGATAATTTTAGAAAGTTATATTAGGTAAGAACATTTTATATCATCAAAGCATGATAAAACTTACCAATTCATCTATAGATAAAATAATAAAAATGATATTAACTCTTTTTAATTTCGTAAGTATGATCTACGAAGCCTTGGGTTCCCGAAACTTGAATTGGGCTTTTAAAAGGCTTGGGCCTTATTAAAATGGTTTGTTGCCGATTGCCACGCGGCGTTTGACTGAAGTCGTCGTCACTGATCAAGAGGTCCTTTTTGTCTCTCATTCTCCTCGCAAGTTTTCGTGCAAACAAAGAAAAATAAAAGAAATGGCCATGGAAGACGTGAACCAGTTGTTCGATGCTGCTTTCGAGTTCGCACACTATCCCGGTAAACTATAAATCCACCGCACCTTCATCTCTTCTACGTATTGTTCGATTGATTATTCTCTAATCCTAAATCACCGTTTCGATTTCAGGTCCTCAGGGAGAAACCTCGGTTAAGGAGTTCCTCGATCGCTTCCCTCTCCCCGTTATCTTCAAGTGATTCTCTTCCTTCGATTCTCATTGCTTTTTGATTTGATTGTTTCTGTTACCGTTTGAATCTGATCCTTTGGTTTTGGGGTTTAGGGTTTTAGACTTTTAGTTAGTTTCTTTAATCTTTTCATTGTGCAGTGCTTTGCAAACGGAAACGGATATCCCAGGGTTTGAAACGACGCTGGTGACTTGCTTGGAAAGAGTTTTCAAGACTAAGTATGGAGCCTCACTCATTCCTCACTACATGGTAACAAACTCACATACTTCTATTTGTGGAATTCTTGTTCATGGAGAGTGACTGTTATTTTTGTATATTCAGAGATTGATTTACTTTTTTTTTTCTGGTGTTTTGTTAAGCCTGTTCTACAGGCTGGCCTCAAGGCAAATTCTGCAGTAGTTAAATCTCTGGCTTGCAAGACTGTAAGTCTCTGAAAGTGTCTGTTTATGCTTTCTTGATGTTTAGGTTTTGCTAATGTCTGGAGTGTTGTTTTTTTTTTTTTTGAAGGTCACCTGCCTCTTGGAGAATCGAGATGCTAACGATGTTTCCCCTGTTCAGCTTATTGTCAGCAATGGCATATACCCTCTTCTGCTTGAGTATATCATAAACAGGTAAGAAAATAGTTTAAAGTTGTCTCATTTTCTATGAGATTACTCTAGTCAAGCGACCTAAGAACCAACCCAACCGTAAAGAACATGTTCAAAGTAGTTTTTGAAGCGTAGTGATTACTGTCTAGATTGTTCTTGCAGGATTAAGATATGGCTTTGGTATGTATTTTCAAATAGTTGCTTTTCCTCAAATTTCACCATTGATGTTCTTTGGTTTTGTAGCGATGATGAAGTGGCACATGCTGCAAGTGAGACTATTAAGAGCCTAGCACGCTTTCCAGATGCAATGGTTTGTGTTTAAACGTTTTCATTTTGGTTCAGTGGCTATTACACTATCTATTCCTTCAACTCAACCCTCTATTTTCACAGTCGGTTATTTTTCCTTCTGATACCAACGATGCTACACACCTTGGTAATCTTGCTGCTAGGAGTTCGTCTCTGGTAATGCCCCGCTTTATTAATTTTTTTTACCATGAAACTCCATTTCCTGTCGTCTTCTTACAATTTTATAACTGTTTTTCAGGCACGTGTCCGGGTTTTGTCTTTGATAGTGAAGCTCTTTTCGATTTCTCCACAAGTAGCGTCAGCAGTTAAGAACTCAGGAATTCTTGATTTACTCGAGGCAGAAATGAAGGGTACAAAGGACACACTTGTGATCTTAAATGTTCTGGAACTCTACTATGAGGTTGGCCTCTTATCTCCAAGATTGTTATTGCGTTTCTTTCGTTTCTTCCCCAAATTTCAAGGGAAAATATTGAATTATGTTAAATGTTTGTGCATGTGTAACGCCGAAGTTAATGGAAGTGGAGCACAGCTCAGAGTTCGTGCCACAAACTTCACTTATTCAGATGTTTTGTTCTATCATCAGGTATAAGCGCACTGTTAAATCTTAAAATTTGATACCTTTTAAGGTCGCTTCATCTCACCCTTTATCTCGGGATCTTAAAATTTGCATAGTGGTACATCAGTGGATCTCTTTCTGAAGTTGAGAGCAATGATGATAAGTGGCAGACTCCTCTCGAGGGACAATATCTACAATACAGTCGATGAAGCTTGTAAGATTTTATTTTATTTTTGCAGAAAAGTGTGATTACTTGGTTTCTATTTATATGCTTTCACGACAAGGCATTTTTAGCTGTCTAAGAACAACTTTCACCTTTGTCCCGAATCCAGGTGTGAAGGCGTTAATTTCAGCTATTGATGCGAGCCTGGAGTCACCGGAGATGAATGATACAAATGCACGTGAAGCTGCGCTTGATGCACTTGGTCAGATTGGATCAAGTAAGTGGCGCAGTTTTTTTTTTGAAATTGCGTTTGTTCCAGCTTTCTGCTAAAAGAGCTTACCTAGCTAGGTCATACATTTAGAGTTGTGAATTATAAGAGCGACCTACAAGGTCTCTTGTTTCCCTTGCAGTAATAATTTCGTGCGACTTATGTGTATATTTTTACAATACTCTTTAGCAACGAAAGGAGCGAATCTAGTCCTTTCGACTACACTTCCAGCTGCAAGACACGTTGTTGCTTCTGCGTTTGATCGCAATGCGCAAGGAAAACAGTTGGTTAGTGTGTTTTTTCTTCTCATCAGTTGAAAGACTCTGCCGATTATATGCTCTTTGGCAGACATGTTAATATTCAATTATTCCTTTCTCAGGATTTTAAATTTTAACTCCTAATGATTGAAATTTTGTTTCATGAGAGATTAATGAAATCTTATGACTGTGCGTAAATGGCATATACAGGCTGCACTTCACGCACTGGCATACATTGCGGGTGAAACACGGCCTAAGAGCAGCAGAATAGTCGGTGAAAAAGCTGAAGAAAACCTTAGATGTTTGATATACGATGTTGCAGCACAGAGCACAAAACTAACCCCATCCGTGAGTTTATTTTCTCTGTCGCCTCTTCTTCCTCAGCTGTGCGCAGAGTACATATGTTTATGTTTTGATCCATAGCATGAGCTAATTGTAGGCTCGTCACACAAAATCGCAGGGTATATTCCTTTCAGTACTTCAACAAAACTCAGAGATGCGCCTTGCGGTAAAACCATTGACCTCATCATCTAATTTTCATATATCTCCCCCTTTGTTTTCCTAGTTGGAATCTTATAATGCACACACACTAATTTTAATTTCCACTATTATAAGACCGTCACGCGTTGCCTAATGAAACTCTATACGTTTTGTTGATCCGATGTTGTTTACAATATAAATCCTCAGGGCTATAGAACATTAGCAGCGTTGGTGGCTAGGCCATGGGGGCTGATGGAGATCTTATCGAAAGAAGAGATAATAAACATAGTGACGGATGCAACCACTGAAACTGCAAAGATAGGTAAACTAAGTGAAACTTCTCTCGCATCATCACACATTAGCCATTGGAGTGGCTTCTTCCTCAACCTATTTGATCTGACTCATTCATATCTCACAATCTTGACACAGCAATGGAAGCGAGGTATAACTGCTGCAAATCAATTAACGAAGCGTTCTTGTGTAGTAACTTTGTTGAAGACCCTCGTCGTCTAAAAACTGGTGAAAAGGTTTGAATCTTTTCCCCAAAGCATATATAAAGATGGAATCTTTCAATGAATGTTGTTGACATGCTTAATAATTTTTTGGTTGTGGTGGCAGTTGCAAGAAGCTGTTCGAAGTGGACCGTATATGTCAAAGAAGTACAGAGACGCACGACCTGAAGTGATGATGGCCGAAGGGTTCTAATGACATAAAGTTTTTTAAAACTTGGAACAGATTTACCTCTTCTCCGTTGTTCGTTAAGCAACTTTAGTTCGTCTTTTCTGTCTAAACAGCAAGTTTCAAGAACTTCGAGTAGATGTTGTTTTGACTTTTTATCGTTTGAACTTGAACAACCGTAATTTTTTGTTTCAAGTCGAGCGTTAATAACAACAACAAGCTGGTACGTATCTGTTTCACTGAAAATTATGGGCCGTGGCCCATCGGATAATAAACAGAAGACTAGTCCATCTACAAGGGTTAAAAAGGTCAATTACTGTTATGGACATTATCTTTGTCTGGATAACACAGGTCCGACGAATAAGAGAGCCTGGGACGAGAGCCAATACTACTAGTTACGGTGTGAGGAGAGCAGAGAAAAGTGTCCATGGCGACAATAGTACAGTGTCTTTCTTCCTGTGCGAGCCTCAATTCCAAGTTCAAAGTCCTTTCTCTTAAGGGAGCTTCTTCGTCATCAACTTCTTCCTTGTCCACTCGCCGTGGTGCTGTCTGCTCCTCCCTAAGCTTCTCTCAGAGCGTTTCTCAGTGTGTCGCATTCTCCTCTGGTAAACCCCTTGTGCATTAATTTTCCTGACATTTGGCATTTGGTTCGTCCTCTTTTATGTTTTCAATAAAAATTTGGGGGGTCTTTGCAGGGAATCTATGGGTACAGAAGAATCCATCGAGGCAATTGATTGTTTGTGAGGCTGCTCCGACGAAGAAAGCTGATTCAGCTGCAAAGAGGGCTCGCCAAGCCGAGAAGAGGCGCGTTTACAACAAGTCTAAAAAATCTGAAGCCCGTACTCGTATGAAGAAGGTTCTGTAATGCTGTTCCTCTGCAAGTTTTAGTGACTAGTTAGGTGATTAGGGAATGTTTCTCCTTGGGACTTCTTGTAGGACAACACTGAACACTAGAATCCAAGTCAGTCACTGACTAGTTTGTTTCATATTGGGATATAGAGATAGTATGAGGTGGGCTTTTAGGTTGGATTAGTCATCACTGTGAGCGTAGCTGTTGTTTAGATAGTTTTGTTACAACTTTGAGGGATTGTTTAAAAATCTTGATAATTTATAGAACATCCTATTATCCTCTTTAACATTTGCAAGTATCTGGTTTTCAGTATATATGACGAGACTAAATTCCAGTTGCGATATATACTAAACAGGTCTTGGAAGCACTCGATGGGCTCAAGAAGAAACCAGACGCGCAAGCTGACGAGATAGTCACCGTGGAGAAACTCATCGGAGAGGCTTATTCTGCTATAGACAAAGCAGTGAAGGTTAGAGCGCTACACAAGAACACTGGTGCCCGAAGGAAGTCTCGTTTGGCTAGGAGGAAAAAGGCTGTTTTGATCCACCACGGTTGGTACGTACCAGACTCAGTAGCAGCAGTAACAGAAGCTGTGACCATGGCTGCGTAAGAATATGGACAGAGAATGGAAATTTGTTTTTGTTATAAGAGATCATATGGAACAAGATGTGAAAATTTGCTTTTAAAATCAAATCTGTTTCTTCATGTATAATTCATTTCGACTTCTGTTTCTTCTTCTGTACTGTTGAGTCTAAGCTTGTTGTCTTCTTCATCTTTTGGCTTGGCCTTGACCTGGTTTAGTAAGATCTCAGTTCTTGGCTCTGGCACCATTCCTCTTGACATCATATCTCGATAATAACTCAATGCTTCTCTTATCTTTCCCTTTGTGTGCAGACCATGAACCATAACAGTATACGTTCTTTGATCTGGTCCTAACCCACTTCTCTCCATCTCATTCCATACCTCCCTTGCCTTCTCTTCATCTCCCCATTGCACATACAACCTAAACACCAAATTGTACAAGTCACTTGTCATCTCACACATGTTCTTCCTCACCCTCCCCAGAACCACCTCAACATCTTCAGGCTTCTGCGAATACTTTAGCAAATAACCGAACGTCACATCGTTAGGCGAACAACTACCTCCTTTCTCTTCCATCTCCTCCACTAGCTCCCAAACTTTCTCTGTTCTCCTTAACTTGCAGAGATGCTTCAAAAGCGAGTTATAAGTCGCAACATTGGGAGAACAACCTTTCTCACTCATCTTCTTGAACACTCCAAAAGCCTCAGGGATCCTCTTCTTGAAACACAATGCATCAATAACGTTATTACAGATCTTAACATCCGGGTCTCTCCCCGTTTCCCACATTGCTCTATAAAGCTCCATAGCCTTTCCAACTTTCCCCTTCTTCGTCAACGCATTAATCATCGTCCCATAGCTGACAACATCAGGCCTACATTTAGAAGCAATGATATCTTTCCAAAACCTCTTTGCTTCATGAACATTCCCCAAAACACACCACCCGTTGAGAATAATATTCATCACCTTTATATCACACCCAACAAACTCTCTTCCACGAGAACAAAACAAAGTCTCCGCAAACTCAACATGCTTATACCTACACAACCACTTCAATAGCACATAAAACGCAACCGAATCATCCTCTATCCCAAACTCTCTCCTCCTCTCGAACACCTTCACAGCTTCATCTACCTTATGAGCAGCAGCGTATCGGTTTAACAAGACTTCATAAGTCTTTGCATCTCTCTTAGGCATTTCGTCGAACACTTGGTGGAACTCTTGAAACCGACGCATTTTCCCAAGAACGTCGAGGATCTCGTTGTACACTGATGAGCTAGAGAGGTAAACAGACTGTTTACGGATCAATTGTGAAAGCGTGTAAGCTGGTTTCCAATCAGACCGGTTCCGGTTCACCACTTCTAAAATCAATCCTTCGGTTAAGACAATCCCACACTTGACGAGAATCCGCTCGATTTCTTCGGGTGAGCTTCCACGGTGGTTCTTTAGGACATTGTGAACATCGACAGAAGATTGATTGTCCTGTCCTAAGGAGTTTCTGTCGGGAGTTGCAAGAGAATGTAGAAAGTGTGGAGATTGGTTAACACCCAGGAAGCGAAACTGAGAGAGGGTGATGTTTTTGTTGTTATGAATCGGTGTCTGCGGAGGAAAGAGACGGAGAGGAGTGGAGGATGATGTGGAAGAGGAGATCCGGCGCGGGCATAGAGCATTGTGTAGCTGAGACAAGATTTCAGTTTTGTATTTCGCTCTCATTTTCACACACTCTCAAACTTACGAATTTTTGGAAGCAATTAGGTACTTATACTTCCCCAGTTTTTTTAAACATAATTTACGTTTTAGATCATTTTTTATACTAAGCTAAATGATATTTTCATTTTTTATATAAAATTTATTAATTTTACTAGGTAATTTATTCGCTCATGAAGACATAATCATATTGCAACAATATATTATTACACTTACTACTAAAATGTGAAATTATTTGCAAATAACATTATTAATATTTACAAAAAAAAAAAATTGTTCATACATCTTATTTCTTAGTTTTTAATGTTTAAAAATGTTTTCAGATAACAACTAAGTATATGTAAGAATTATCTTTTAAAAAAAGAATATATAATATTTATGAAAACTTTATGACGCCAGCATATTCTCACCTCTAAATATCATAACCCTATTTATTCCCATCCATACTATCTACCTTTTGAGAAAACCACCCATAGATATGAATTATCTTTTCATTTCCTTTTAATCTATTTAGTTCTGCCCTCATCTCCCTTTCTAATCTAGTTTCAAAATCAAAATTAAAAACTGGATAATTGCGTTTAGAAATTAGCGATTGCCCATTAAACAAATTACAGTCCGACCCGACCCATCAACATCCAACCCATGAATAGATTTGGGTGTAAATAAAAATTGAGAATTCGGCCAAAAAAAACACGAACTTTGCAGGAATTGCCAAAAGAAACCTGAACTTTTGGCCTGACCAAAAAAAACATAAACTTTTCATTGACTTTCGAATTAATTAACAATGTTTTCGTTGACTTGCCAATTTAGCACGCCGTCAACCAATTTAACAGAAAAAGTTAACGTTGTTAATTGTTGCTGTTAGGATGAAACGACGTCGTTTTAAGCTATTTGAAAATTAAAAAACGTAAACCCACGGATTCGAATCCAGGATGATTGGATCAAGTGGCAAGGTAGTATACCACTAGGCTAGTGGCACATTCAATGTATCTACTAACACATTTACTTATATTTGGTACTTATTGAATATAAAAAAAATTCTATAAAAACTTTAAAAATCTTTAAAATGTCAAAAAATGAAAAAAATCAAGATTTTTTTTTATAAAATTAATTTTGAAATTAAAATTAAAATAATTTTTTTTTCTTTCAATGTATCTACTAACACATTTACTTATATTTGGTACTGATTGAATATAAAAAAAATTCTATAAAAACTTTAAAAAATCTTTAAAATTTCAAAAAAATGAAAAATAAAGAGTTTTTTATAAAACTAATTTTGAAACTAAAATTAAAATAAATTTTTATTTTCTTTAAAAAAATCAAAAATATTCCAAAATTTTAGTTTAAAGAAAAAATAAATTTTCTTTTAATTTTAAAATTAATTTTATAAAAAAAAAATTTATTTTTTCACTTTTTTGAAATTTTAAAGATTTTTTAAAGGTTTATAGATTTTTTTTATATTCAATCAGTACCAAATATAAGTAAATGTGTTAATAGATACATTAAAAGAAAAATAAAATTTTATAAGTTCCCGTCTGATTTTTTAAAGAAAAATAAAATTTTATTTTAATTTTAATTTCAAAATTAATTTTATAAAAAAATTCTTTCTTTTTAATTTGTTTTGAAATTTTAAAGATTTTTAAAGTTTTTATAGAATTTTTTTAATATTCAATCAGTACCAAATATAAGTAAATGTGTTAGTAGATACATTGAATGTGCCACTAGCCTAGTGGTAAACTACCTTGCCACTAAATCCAATCATCCCGGGTTCGAATCCAGGGTCTACGTCTTTTATTTTCAAATAGCTTAAAACGACGTCGTTTCATCTCAATTGAAAACGACGTCGTTTCATCCTAACAGCAGCAATTAACGTCTGAGTTAACACCGTCTTAACGGTTCGATAACGGTGTGTTAAAATGGCGAGTCAATCGTAAGTTTCTTAATAAACTAATAAAGTCAACAAAAGTTCAGGTTTCTTTTGGCCAGACTCGAGTACAGGTTTCTTTTGGCCATTCGTGCAAAGTTGGTGTTTTTTTTGGCCGAATTCTCAATAAAAATTATGGTTTTGTTTGTCTCTTTCGTCAAGATACAGAGACAACAACTAAGAACAAAGAGAGAGTGACGAGAACAGAGAGACATAGAGAGAGAGTGACGAAGAAGAACAGAGAGAGAGAGGAGAAGTGAGATCAGAGATAGTGAAGAAAAACAGAGATAGAGAGACAAGAGAGAGTGGAGAAAAACAGAGCGACATAAACAAGATGAGAGAGAGAGAGAGAAACAAGACCAGAGAGAGTATGATTGAGTGTCTAGAGTTTCAGATAACAAGGCCCGAGAAAATGGAAGAAGAGATGATTGAAACCTATGATATGATATCGTTTTATGAAAAGAGATATGGTAAGATGAAGAACCATGAGAATTAAGAGCACTATGAGTTGCAGAAACATGTTCTTTTTTTTTTTGTAGTTTGGTTATATGTATTGAATCTCTTATGCAATAAATATCTGTCTGTAATGTGTTTGGTAAATGTATTTCTCGTTGAACCTAAACATGTCTCTCGTCTACCTGAACATGTGTCACATAACTTAAGCATGTCTTACATAAAATAGAACAAGTCTTGCATAAACTGCTCCATCCTCTTTCCTCTCTATCTCAAACTCACTTTCATAATCTGCTTCATCACCTTTCCTCTCTATTTCAAACCGTGTCTCAGAATCAATTTCGTTTGCCTCATCTTTGTCATTATAAATCAACCATCAACACACAAAGAAAACAAATTACATCTCCTTACTATCTCATAAACCAAATACTCTTAAGCTAGCATAGCAAGAAAATATAGGTCAGACTCCTCTGTAATACCATCTCGAGCTTGAAGCTCACTTGTACCAGAAATCAAAGCAACGTGTCCATGCTTCTCCAGGTAAGCTCTCTGTCTCGAAGTTGAAGCTCTTCCCTTTCTTCTCTCTCTCAAACTCTCTCGTCTCCATCTCTGTTTCCTCTCGCTCTCTCAGCTTCTCCCGTCTCTGATTCTTCTCTCTCTCAGTCTCTTTCGTCTTGTTTCTTCTCTCTTTCTCAGACTCTAGTGTCCATCTATGTTTTTCTCTCTCTCTCAACTCTCTCCTCTCCACCTCTCTTTTTATTTTCTCTCTATTAGATTCTGTCATCTCCATCTTCGTTTCTTCTCTCTGTCCAAATCAATTTCGTTTTAAGAAGTCGGGTCGGATCACAAAACGCGATTAACTATATAATCGCGTTTTAGAGCTTAAATATTGATTTGAACTTTTTCGATTACAGAGGTTTAATTGTGCAGAGCTTATATGATTAAGGGTTAATATGAAGCAATTTATATGTCCAGGGGTTTTAATAAAGAGATTAGTAGTTTAGGTGGGAATAAGTAGGGTTTAAGTTATACAGAGGGGAATAGACAGTCAACCCAAACTTTATTTATTGTTTATAATTATCCAATATAACATATAAACTAATATTATTAACTGAAATTCGTTTTTAATTTAAATTATTAAATAAATTATATATAAAAAGTTATTGAGGATAATATTGCTATTAACCATTCTAAATTTTAAGGTGAGTTTTGTCACGAAAAATCGTCGCAAATAATAATATATTTTCTTAATGTTTAAAACTGTTTTCGAATATATACTTTTGATAATTTTATTTATTAAATTATAATTTTCCAATATAACATATAAAGCTAATATTATTAACCAAAAAAACATTTTTAATTTTAATTATTTAATAAATTAGATATAAAGGTTCATTAAGGATAATATCGATATTAACCGCTATAACTTTTAGCATGAGTGCTCCATAACGAAAAATCATTTTAAAAATAATAGTATAGATGTCATATAGCTATTTATATTATGTTATTAAATTTATTATTGGTTAAATTTTTTTAAGATACATGATTGTTGATAATTTTGTTTAAGAAAGACAAAAATTAGGTGGTTTTAATTTATATGTACAGATTTACTTGATTTTTTTAGTTAGCCGTCCATCTAAACTAGATCAAGTGATCATCAGCCGAGTCGATTTTCTGAGGAGAACTTCTGTCTGATCAAGTGTGATCTATATGGAAAAAAACATAGCATCGGGTCCTTATTTCTTTTGCTAATGTTTCCGCTCGACTATTCCTATTCCAAAGAATATAAGACAATATCACATCCTCGAAATCCTCATATAATCTCTGGAACACTTTGATCTCTATCCAATCGTGAAAATCGGTTAATCTTCCAGGTTTGAAGTCATGTCCACTAGGCATGGTCGGCTTAACTACAAGGGTGAACAGTGCGACCGCTCCAGACCCATTCCCCAAGCCTATAAAATAAGGAGTCCAATTTTTTCAAAGAAAAAAAGTATTGAGAATTTTTTTTAAGAAGGGATACACAATATACATATGTTTTAAATGAGTTTTATCTTATATATTTTACATCTAAATTTAATAATGTTTTATACAATACAAAATTGCAAAAATATGATTAAATTATTTTTATATAATTATTAAAAGGTCTACCCCTAAGTTCTAACAATCTGAAATTCAATAGGTCCCAACAGTCCGAAATCTTCATGTAATCTGTGAAACATGGATTTATATTCTTAGGTATTCATAAAACCCTAATATGCACATTAATAATTTTTTTTATTTAAAAAATATTTAATTAAATCAAATATTTGAAGTACAATAAAATATTAAAATAAATAGCTTAGAACTTATGTTAACTTAAGGATGATCCAGCAGATTATGTGCCCCGAGAAAACCCAATCCATTATCCATGGTCTGGAGACATGTGTAGTTGTCGTTAAATAAAGAACAATGAATGCAATTAACAATCGAATAATCATTTAATTAAGTGAATAATCTTTAATCTTAGTCACACGTCTCCCTGCCGTCAATGTTATTACCATCTTTTAGGAAACAAGAGAAACAAAACAAACGGCGGGCCCACCGCCGTTAGAATCTCGGTTAGCCGACGCATACACCATTCTCTCTCTCCTTTTGTCTCCTTTCTGGATCATTCTCCACGCGTTCGTGTTGACCACGTGGCATTATAGATCTTAAAAAAACAAATCAGCTTTTATTAATTATTTTATTTCCCTAGTGCTCTGGTGGACTTTATTGGTTTCTTAAAAACATTTTTTTGCCAGAGGGTCGGCTATATATTTTTAGGAAAAATAAAGAAAAAAACAGTCAAACTCAACTTTGAATTGGAGCTGAGTCGAAGAAGTCACACAGAACGTTCTTCACGCGATCGCCATAAGCTTCCGTTTAGCAGTGAGATTCACGTGCTTACATGATAACGCTAACGCAGATTATTAGCCGCGCGTCGTCGAGTTGTTGCCATGTGTTCAAATGTCTTATATTTCATAATATTAAATAATTTTATTAAAAGTTTTTTATAAATATAAGTTGTTCTTACATTTCTATGTAACCTTGTATTTATTAAATATAATATAACCAATCAAAATACATGTTTATTAATTCAACTGTATCTGTAGAGAATTTTTTTAGGATAGACCTAAAATATTTTTTTAACATAAATACAAATTTTAAAAATAAAAATTACCAAAATAGATTAAAATATTTTATCAAAAATAAGTGAATATACACTTATAATCTTTGGATTAACTAATCGTATATTTTTTTTTTGTTTAGAGTTATACCCTTTAAATTAACTAATTGTAGATTTTTTTGTTTAGAGTTGAAAATTGAGGTTTTGGGAATAGAATTTCAATTTTTTTTTAAAAAAAATCAAAATATCCAATCTTATTTTAGTTATTTTAGTTTTTGAGGTCTATTTCTGTGATAAAAATTTAGAAACAAAATTTTCTAAATTATATATTTCCTAATTTTAAACCAATAAAATTTAATAAATGTATTTAAATTTTTAAAAATTGCAATTATAAGTATTATTTGATAAAACATATATTGCAAATATAAAAACAGAGTTTTTAAAAACTTTTTTTTCCTATAATATGTAACCTAATAAAACAGAGGAAGTATAAAATATAGACTATTTTCCTCTGTTTTTCAGGCACTGTTGCTAATTTATTCCAAGATTTTAAATTTGTGCATGTTTATAAATGCTATATTTTGACTGAACTTTGATAGTATTTCTAAGCTACATAGATAACTAAAACTTCAAAGACGATGCAACAGTAAAGTTTTTTAAAGTTAGTTTTAAGGAACAATTGAGGTTACAAAGAGTATTCTACTTTTATATATATATATATATATATATATATATGATATAACGATTTATTATTTTCGAGAAGTTCTATTTTCATGAAGTAAATCCCCATATTATCATCTATGTCAAAAAAAAAAAAAAAAAAAATCCCCATATTATCATCTATTAGTTATGCATACTATTATTTTTATTTGCATATTATGTATCAACAATGTTAATTTTTTCGTTTTGCCGAAATAAATGTTAATTTCGTGTTCACGAAATATTAAACACACAAACTTAATTCTACTAAAAAAGAAAATTTCAAAAAAAAATCTATGATTTTGAAAAAGAAAATCTGAGTATATGGGAATTTATTGTGTGGGCATGCAACTAACTGCATCCATCTCCATTAAGTATATTGTAGCACCCTTGTATCATTTTGATTACATCAGATCAGATAGGTTTAGATTTTAATGTAAAAATGATTCTCTGAGTATGAGTGTTACTCTTATATTTTAAATCATAAAACAACTAAAAGGATTTACAATTATTAATTTGCATTACGTTTTAATACTTCATATGTTCATATATGCCAAAGTAAATTCTGTTTTATATTCAAAATAGTTACATAAAAGTTTTGAATTAAAAATAAATATTTTAGTTACATCAATGTTAAATATTCATCAATTTAAAAATATATAGTGATAATATGTCATCTTAAGAGATTTATATTTTCAATTAATGCATCTAAATGCTGAATACCATTTCCTAAAATATGAACAAAAAGTTGACGAAAAAGAAAAAAAATGAAAAAAATAAAAAATAAAAACGCTTGGTGGTGAAAAAAAAAACTAAAAACAAAAACGAAGGGTTGATAAAAGAAAGACAATAGTCCTTGAAGGAGGAAACAGACACACATACACACACGTGGCATAGGGTAAGTGGAGGTTAAAAAAGAAAAACCAAGAAAACCGCTGTTGTCTGTAAAGAGAAGCCGCTAAAAAAACATTACAGGCTTTGACTGTTCACAAACAAAGCGCCCCAAAAGGAGCGTCGCTTTTACTCTCTCTTCATCTATATATAAACAATACACACCTTCCTCCTCCTTCCATCTTCAATTATCTCACACCATCCTCTCCGTTTATTACGTAATGGCCAAGTTGTGTCTGAAACCCACCCCGGCTACTCCTAACCCGACCCGCAATAATGCAAAGGAGATTCGTTATAGAGGCGTGAGGAAGCGTCCTTGGGGCCGTTACGCCGCCGAGATCAGAGATCCGGGTAAGAAGACCCGCGTCTGGCTCGGTACCTTCGATACCGCCGAGGAGGCGGCGCGTGCATACGATAAGGCGGCGCGTGATTTTCGCGGTGTCAAAGCAAAGACTAATTTCCCGAATTTTCTTGAGCTGAATGAGAAGGTAACCTCCGCCGGCGCCGGCGCCTTCGCGCGGAGCCCTAGCCAGAGCAGCACCGTCGACTACGCTTCACCTCCGGCAGCTGCTGGGATTGTTCCACCGCAACTTCAGCTTAGTCTCGGCGGTGGCGGCGGCGCGTGTCACCAGATCCCGGTGGCGCGTCCGGTATACTTTTTGGACCTTATGGGCGTCGGTAACGGAGGTCGTGGTCAGCTTCCGGTGTCTTCGGCGTTTAGGTCGCCGGTGATGCATGTATCTAGGAAGATGGCTTGTGGGGCCCAGAGCGACTCTGATTCGTCATCGGTCGTTGATTTCGAAGGGGTGCTGGAGAAGAGATCTCAGCCGTTAAATCTAGATCTTAACTTGCTCCCTCCGGCGGAACAGGCTTGAGCTTTTAGGCGATGTCGTTTCATTTGCGACGCGCGTGCGTTTTTTTTTTGCTTTGCAGCCGAGAGAATAATTTCACGTAGTTTTTTTCTCCTCACTCTAAAATAATTATTATCGGTTTTTAGAAGAAAAAAATATATAAATTGAGGGAGAAAAAATATAATTTTAGCTGACATATATCGTTATGTACATAACCGGAGATCTGAACTTTTGTTGTGTGCTTTTTTGCGACCTGGTTTTCACCATGTTGTTTCTTTGTAGCTTTTCTTTTTTGTTACTGTATTTGTTTTTCCAAATTTTCAGTTTATTAATTTGGTAATCTTCATAATGTTCATCAAATTTCTAAGATACTTAGATATATCATATAAGTATCACTGCTTGGAAGTTGTAACTACTAAGTACTATGTAATCAGTCAGCCGGCATCTTTCGTTGGCCTTTTCTTTGTGTTGTTGAATCAAATAATTTTGAAGGAATACAATAACGTAGGTTTCTTTTGACAGTGGTTTAATGAAAAATGCAATATAGATGGTTGTTGGGAAATAAGAAAACGAAATTAAAAGTCAGATCTATTATATTAAAAGAGAAGTCACAACTTCTCTTCATGTGTTATATTTTTAAAAATAGACCATTCCTAGAAAATAATATTTCATATATATCTTAATAACATTTTATTTGACTTAGTTACAATATCTTTTGATATCTTTCTTCTATTTGAAATAAAATAAATATTTTAAAAAGAATTCTAACAAAATCTTTTAGAATCTTTTATAAACATTAAACATATGAATAATAATATATACCAATAATGATGTAAATAAATATATATATATATACATATTTATAAACGAAATTAAACACCCGCTCGGTTGAGCGGGTCAAAATCTAGTTATTATTAAAAAGAGAGTTGAGTATTTTTACTATGGTGGAAGCTTTAAGCAGGCACGCAGTCGGCTGTTGTTGGGCCCATTCTCCTGCAGCGTATATTTGAAAACTTTACTCTCTTACGTCACTATGTAGGGTCCATGTACAGAGTTATGGGCATACTACTCTTTTTGCGAACTTCCAAATTTGAGTTTTGAATGATGAACATTCACACCCTTATTATGTTCTGACAGAACCTGTCCTAGATTTGATTTCTAATCTGCTAGATTTTGCCAGAAGTTTACTGCCAGAGGAGTGTAAGATTAGCATAATTCTATTTTCCCATTCAAAAACAAAGATCTCTAAGCAACTAATAAATTCTTTTTAGAAATAACTCAGTACTCTGCCTTATCTTTTGTTTATCTGAGAACCCTATATATCTTGTTAAAAAAAACTGCCATGTGAAAATTAATCACTGATACTATCTAATCTATTAAAATAGAGACATTCTTTTTATCTACTGATACAAGTTGTCATTTAAATTTGGACCATTTCTAGAGTGTTATAAATAATATAAATCTTATAATTGATTGAACCGCATTACTTAAATTAAACCAACACAATTAATGTAACATGGCGACCTTAATATAAACTATCTTCAAAATACGGCATATATCTATGTGTCTACCAGAAACACATATTTTCTCCTACAAATATAGAATGTTCTAAAAGAATATATATTATCAAAATATGGAATATGGAAATCTACTAATTATATTAATGTGAAAATCGTAATATACCATTTAGCATCTTAACAATTCCTTAAAAAAATGGAATTTTAATAATTATATGAAACCAATGGAAATCTACTCTATTAAAATAGAGTCTTTCTTTTTATCTATTAATACAAATTGTCATTTAAATTTGGACTCTTTCTAGAGTGTTACAACAAGCCATATATAATTGATCCGCATTACTTAAATTAAACCGATGGTTATTTATGGGATATAGTTTTGGGCTTACTTTTGTTTTTAGGACATATTATATGGTTTTATTTTTAGGCTTAACAGAAAAACTCCAAAAAACATTGAATAAAATTTCTATCTTAATAGATCAAAAAATCAATTATTAGTTTCAGGCCCAAATGTATTTAATATTTTTAACAAAACAAAATTGTCTATTATTAATCATTTATTTAAATCATGTACTTTAAAACATGTTATTGTATTTTTTTATTTTAAATAACAATCAGTTTTTTTGATAAATTTCAATGGTAAATTTTAAATAATTTACTTTTTTATTTTTCTTAAATAATTTACTGATTTAAAAAAATAAATGTAAAACAAAACCAAAAACAATTCTAAAAACTAAAACCCAAAACCAAAAGCTGAAAACGCATTGTTCTGGATAACATATTGTTATAGTTTTTGCTTTTGTTTATTTACAAAATAAACTATTGCAAAAAATTTTAAAATTTTTTTTGTCATCTTTCTTGTTTTAAATTAGATGTTCGTTTATTTGAAATTTGTTTGTTGGTAATATCAGTTCAAACTAACTCAGCGGATCTAAAAATTAAAAACCCAAACAAAAGCTGAAAATAAAAAATAGAAACTTAAAAACTAAAAACCAAAATCTAAAAATAAAAACTGAAACTAAAAACTAATGAAAAAAATCGTCACCACAAATTTTGGTAAACTAATTTTATACCAAAACATTCTTTAAATTAAGACATAACCCAATTATATAAATTTTAGTTATAAAAATTTTCCACGCTTTCAAGCGCGAGTCAAAATCTAGTTATCTTATTATTTTACAGAAATCATAAACAATTCTTTTGAAATACTATAAGACCATTGAATTGGAAACCAAAAACACCATTATCGCCTATATTAATAAGGTTCTTAAGGGGTGGATTTTGCAAATTTTATTAAAACCGTATGCAAAAATTACAAGATAAGAGTCGTTTTTAGCACGTTTTTTGTACTATTTGCAGACCCCGTTTATATGTACTGGTTTGTGATTGATTTTTAAAAAAAGTTAGATAAAAAAAATTTAAGAAACCCAAAATAGTTTTAGCGAATATGGTGCTCTAATTGTGAAATCTTTAATATTTATTTTTGCATATTTGCGGTTCACTATGATTTTTTTCTTTTAAATTGTGATCTAGAGACATGATGTTATTCTTCTGAGAGTAATGATACTGGGATGACCGATGAGTCAAGAAAAAATGATGGGTTGGTGTAAAAAAACTTTTTGGTCAAAGGGTTGGTGTAAAATTAACTGCAATGATCTGAACGAAAGAGGAGTAGATGCAGAACGACGACGTATAGGAGGGTGAGAGAGAAACTGGCTTCATAATTAGAGGCAGAGAAGAGAGCTTTGATTGGATTCTTGTCTCCAACTACGCAATCAGAAAAAGGGACATATATTATCCCTTCGTGAGTCGCATAGATCCAACGGTTAGATTGCCTCTCTTAACCACGTGGATGCATCTCAATATTTGACAATATTAATTAACAAGAAAATAAAAAGAGGGAGGCGGCACCGACGGCTAAGCAGCGCGAGTAATCCTTTTCAAAAGAGACCGAATCAGTGACGGTGGCGCCCACATTTCTCATATTTTTCTTTATATAATTTTTTTTAAAAAAAAATACAAAGGCTTTAGTTCCTGAACTACAAAATTAATAATAATAACGAGAAGAAGAAAATATTTACAGCTTAGTTTTGTTTCTTATAAAAAGGCTATTTACAGCTTAGTTCCTGAATTACAACTATTACTTTTGATACATAGGACTACTAGTAGTTGACAAAAAAAAAAAAGAATACTAGTATTGTACAAACAATTTTATATGTATTTGTAAGTCCGACGTTTTCAGATAGTATACAAAAGACTTAATCACGTGCATCTCCACCGTCCGATTAAAATTTGATGTTCACTCATTACTGTCTTCCTTTTCTCATTGTTATTTTATTTTGTTTATCACCTATCTATACTTTTTACGTGAATGACTCCTTAGATTGAATTTGAAGGCAATTTCAGCCGGGCTAATGGCCTGTTGTATTAACCGAAAAATAGATTTATATTGGAATTGATAAAGATAAAAGGTTAGTTACAGATACGGATCACATCATAATTAAAAAAAAAAACTCGTCAATTTTTAAATATGAATGCATCATATTCTTAAAATATGTAGCATTAGAGTGGGAATAATTCATTTTTATTATGGAAGACACGTGTGAAACAAGATTAACTGCGGCGGCCGCTTTTCCTCTGAGTGGACCCACACGCCTAGTATTAAGGTCATCCAGAATCTCAATCCTAACCAACCAGAGTTTTTCCCTCCTTTTTTATATCTCACCTCTATGCAAGTCGGCCATTTACATTACAACTCTCTATATTGCGTACACAGCCCCTTTCTTTTGATATTTCACAACTATGGTCCAGAAATTTATTGGTTTTAAAAAGAAAGCAACCACTTATTAGATACGGATTTAAATCATCTCAGTAATTTAACTACATATCCAACAGTACAGTTTCATCAATCACAGCTTCACGTCACATGCACTTTTTAAACTCTACTAGTTTGGAGAAATTACTTTTGCTCAGAGCATCTCCAACCCAAGACCTCATTTTAAGGGGAGCAAAACCTCGAAATGAGGATTTAAGGGTTAATTGCTCCAACCATAAAACTTCAAAAAATCCTTAAAAGTTTATATTATTTGCATTATAGTCCTTGATATTAAGAAAAACTATGAATAATGACAATATTTCACAAATACATATAAAATATACAATTAATGTATTATAAAACACATAATATTAAAATATTATATGATAAAATAATATAAATTATATATATAATAAAATAACATACACTCAGAATTTTTTTAGAAAGTTACATATAATATACCACTTGTAAGATATGCAATACTTAAATGTTTCTATAATTTGCTTTAATTTATGTTAAGTTTGTTTATTTTATTTTTATTTTTATGAGTTATTTTTAATGTATGTTTATATTTGTGTAAATTTACTTTTAACTTTATGTATTATTTATTATATCTTATTATATTTTGGTATATTTAAGTTATCTAAATAAAGTTAATAGATGTATTTGTGAAAGAAAATAATTGTAAGAACTAAAAAGAAAATGAATAGTAGTTTTGAGGTTTTGAACAGTGAAACCTCAAATTTGAGGCGCCACTATTCAAAACCTCAAAATTTGAGGATTTGAGGTTCGGTTGGAATGACAAAAACCTCAAAATTTAAGGATTTGAGGTTGGTTGGAGATGCTCTTAGCTTACGTTTCTAACTTTAAATTAGACACTTTTCGGTGCATAAAACGAATTTTTGATTAGAGAAAAATAGTTTAAATGGTGCAAATCATATGGATTATAAAAATTAACCGGAATAATTTCGATCAACCAGATTATGAGAGACATAAGCATATCAAATAGTGTCCTAGAAATTTAAATGGTAAAAATCATTCAAATAAAACATATTATACATTTAAATAATAAAAATAAAATATAAATAAATATAATTATATATAATAAAAAGAGTAAGCGAATATTTAAATATATATATATATTACACAAAATCCATGTATAATATATATAGACAAAAGCTCTGTTAC